GTATATGTCCATGCAAATTTTTTTAACACCATTTATTGAAGAGACTGTCTTGACTCCATTGTATGCTCTTGCCTCCTTGTCAAATATTAATTGAATGTAATGGCTTGTGTCAATTTCTAGGGTCTCTGTTCTGTTCAGTTGATCTATATGCCATTCTTTTGCCAGTACTAGGCATTTGATTACAGTGGCTTTGTAGTATAACTTGAAATTTGGTATTGTGCTTCCTTCAACTTTGTTCTTTTTTCTCAAGATTGCTGAGGTTATTCAGGGTCTTTTTTGGTTCCATGTAATTTGTTCAAGAACTTTTTCTATATCTCTGAAATATGCTGTTGATATTTTAATAGGGATTGCATTGAATCTGTAGATTGCCTTGGGTAGTTATAGACATTTGAATGATGTTAAGTCTACCTATCCATGAACACTGTATATTCTTCCACTTGTTTCTACCTTTTATGTCTTTTTTCATGTCCTGTAGTTTTTCAAGTACAGGTCTTTTGTCTCCTAGGTTAAGTTTATTCCTAAGTATTTTAAATTTTTTGTTGCAGTGGTAAATGGGATTGCTTCTTTAATTTCTCTTTCTGAAGAATTAATTATTGGTGTATCAAAAAAGCATTCATTTTGGGGTGTTGATTTTGTATCCTGCTAAATTGCCAAATTCACTTATTAAATCTAGAGGTTTTTGGTGGAGTCTTTAGGGTTTTTCTATGTATAATATCATGTCACCTTCGAATGATGAGAGTTTTATTTCCTCCTTTCCCATTTTTTTAAATATACTTTATTGATTTTTACAGAGAGGAAGAGAGAGGGATAGAGAGTTAGAAACATCGATGAGAGAGAATCACCAATCAGCTGCCTCTTGCACACCCCCTACTGCGGATGTGCCCGCAACCAAGGTACATGCCCTTGACTGGAATCGAACCCAGGATCTTTCAGTCGCAGGCCAATGCTCTATCCATTGAGCCAAACCAGTTTCGGCTCCTTTCCCATTTGGATGCCTGTTATTTCTTCTTGTCTGATCGCTGTGGGTAGGACTTCCAGTGCTATGTTGAATAAGAGTGGTGAAAGTGGACATCCCTGACTTGTTCCTGTTCCTATGGGAAATGGTTTTAGCTATTGCCCATTGAGTATGTTGGCTGTAGGTTTATCATATATGGCCATTATCATGTTGAGATATGCTCTCTCTATTCTCACTTTACTGAGGGTTTTTATCGAAAATGGGTGTTGGATTTTGTCAAATGCTTTTTCTGTGTCTATTGGTATGATCATGTGATTTTTGTCTTTCAATTTGTTAATGTGATGTATCATGTTCATTGGTTTGTAAATATTGTACCAGCCTTGCATCCCTGGAATAAATCCCACTTGGTCATGGTGTATTATCTTTGTAATATACTGTGGATCTGATTTGCTAATATTTTATTGAGGCTTTTAGCATCTATGTTCATCAGGGATATTGGCCTGTCATTCTCTTTCTTGGTAGTGTCTTTATCAGGTTTTGGAATTAGGGTGACGCTGGCCTCATAAAAAGCACTTAGAAGTGTTCCTTCCTCTTGGATGTTGTGGAAGAGTTTGAGGAGTGTAAGTGTTCTTCTTTGAATGTTTGGTAAACTCCCCTGTAAAGCAGTCCAGACCCGGGCTTTTGTTTGCTGGGTTGTTTGTTTGTTTGTTTGTTTAAATACTGCTTCAATTTCCTCAGTTTTTATTGACCTACTCAGATTTTCTGATTCTTCCTAATTCTGTTTAGGGAGATTGATTTTTTTATAGAAATTTGTCGATTTCACCCACATTATCGAGCTTGTTGGCATATAGTTGTTCATAGTATTTCTTTAATCCTTTGTATTTCTGTGGTGTCAATGGTTATTTCTCAGCTTTGGTTTCAGATTTTATTTATTTGGGTCATCTCTCTTTGCTTCTTGATGAGTCTGGCAATTGGTTCATCAATTCTGTTTATCCTTTCAAAGAACCAGCTCTTGGTTTCATGGATTTTATGTATTGCTTTCTTAGTCTATGTCATTTGTTCCTGCTCAAATCTTTATTATTTCCTGCCTTCTACTTACTCTGAGCTTCCCTTGTTCCTATTATTTGAGTTTTAGAATTAAGTAGTTTATTGTTGATTTTTCTTGTTTTTTGAGGTATCCCTGTAGTTCTAGGAACTTCCCTCTCAGGGCTGCTTTTGCTTTTTCCAAGAGATTTGGGGTTGTGGGTTCATATCATTTGTTTTTAGGAAGTTTTTTTAATTCTTTCTTGATCCTTTAAAGTCAGTTTCCTTGTTAACCTTTTGTCTGGAAGTCAGCAGGGTATTAAAGTCCCCTACTATGGCTGTATTGTTGTTAGTCTCTCCCTTGAAGTCCTCTAGAAGTCTATGTACTTAAGTCTATATATTGGTGCATATGTTTTACCAGGGTTATATCTTCTTGTTGGACTGATCGCTTTAGTATTATGTAGTGAGCTTCGTTATCCTTGTGATGGCCTTCATTTTGAAGTCTATTTTATCAGATATGAGTATTGCTCCAGCTTTTTCTTTTCCATTTTTATGGAAAAAATATTTCCACCCTTCACTCCCAACCTGTGTGTGTCATTTGTTGTGAGATGGGTCTCTTGTAGACAGCATATAGTTGAATCATGTTGTTGTATCCATTTAGATACCCTGTGTATTTTGATTGGAACATTTAAGCCATTTACATTTAAGGTTATTATTGATATACTTATTTATTGCCATTTTAATTTTGTATGCCTAGGTTTCTCTGTTTCTTCTTATTACAGAAGTCCCTTTAACATTTCTTACAATGTTGGCGTGGTGTTGATATACTCCTTTTGCCTTTTTTAATCTCCAAAGTGAATTATTTCTATCCTAAACCAGGGTTTTCCTTTTGAGGACTGTGTAGATGTCTGTTTTTATCATGTGAAGCCAGCTGACTGGCTGGGCTGAGTGATGGGGACCACAGTTGTTAGGATAAGCGTCTGTTGGCTGTGACAGTGACAGTGGCTCTCTGTACTGATGATGAGCGCGGGGACCGGCCTCATGCTCAGCAGGGCTCCCTTGGTCTGTTTGCAGATCAGCACCTGCCACCAGCTCCTGCACCCCCAGGTCCTGCAGCTGCTAGTGAAACTCTTTGAGACGGAGCACTCCCAGCTGGACGTGATGGAGCAGGTGAGCAGGGCGGAGCTGCCAGGTGGCTGAGGAGAGGGCCTTCTCTAACTGATTTCTGTTCACTCTTGTAGCTCGAGCTGAAGAAGACCCTGTTGGACAGGATGGTACACCTGCTGAGTCGTGGTTATGTACTTCCTGTTGTCGGTTACATCCGAAAGTGTCTGGAAAAGCTGGACACTGACATTTCTCTCATTCGCTATTTTGTAACTGAGGTCAGCAACACATTTGTTTCATGTCCCTACTGTATACACTAACAGTGTCCTTTCTGGATTAATTTGTTTTGTACCTAACCCTGAGAACTGTGCTTTCTGGTAACCATGCCGATGATAGTGACATAGATACCCGTTTCCTCCTACATGCTGCTACTGTACTGTGTTTACCTGCATTGCCCCTGGGTCCTAGGTCACTAGGGAGCAAGTCACTGGGTGGGGAGGGTGGTTTTCTCTGGACCAACTGGCATTCATTCCATCAGCCTGTGGTGCAAGGCTGCTCGCAGGCATGCGTGCAGGAGCAGTGACCTGCTGTTCTCTCCTTGCAGGTGCTCGACGTCATAGCTCCGCCATACACCTCTGACTTCGTGCAGCTCTTCCTCCCCATCTTGGAAAACGACAGCATTGCAGGCACCATTAAGACTGAAGGGGAACACGACCCTGTGACAGAATTCATAGGTAGGCTGGGTGGGAGTGTCGTCCTGCTAGTTTACATGTCATGTTTTACCTCCTGGTTCTGACCTGTGTTCCTCCCGTTTGCAAAGTTCACTGCAAGTCCAACTTCATTCTCGTAAACTGACCCAGTACCCTCCGGAGCCTAAGAGAACATTCCAGACTGGGAAAAACGCCTTCCAGACCAAAGGGGCTCAGTCAGCACCTCGGAAATGCGTTCTTGGGTGAATGGCATTTAAAAAAGGAAAACTGAACAAGATACGTGGAAAATTGCTGTCATGAGTGGTCCCTCACCTTGTCAGTTCTGTTCACAGCATTCTCTCCCCCAATAGAGCCTGTGTTCAGGTTACCTCTTGGGATGGGTGGTGGGAATTCAGAACCTGAAACACTTAAATCAGCTGCTTGCAAAGCTGACTTATGCTTTCTTACAAGAACCTGATTAGTTATTTCATTTCATTGTGTTAATTTCCCAAAGACAAATAAAACCTTCCTTTTGAGTTGGAAAGTGTAGACCCTGGTGTTCTGTTCGCATGTGTGAATAAGGCACGCTCAGCCGAAACCGGTTTGGCACAGTGGTAGAGCGTCGGTCTGCAGACTGAAAGGTCCCAGGTTCGATTCCGGTCAAGGGCATGTACATTGGTTGCGGGCACATCCCCAGTAGGGGGTGTGCAAGAGGCAGCTGGTCGATGTTTCTCTCTCATCGACGTTTCTAGCTCTCTATCCCTCTCTCCTCCTCTCTGTAAAAAATCAATAAAATATATTAAAAAAAAAAAAAATAAGGCACGCTCAGGCTCGGTTCTCTTGTGAAGTCCGTATTTTATTCATCACTTGGGCGATTTGAAACTGCCGTCTCCCCCTCTATTCCCCATTCCTTCCAAGGAGACAAAAGAATTGGTGATAAATGCCACATTATAGACTACAGTTGCCAAAGAGAAAATACCAAACCATCAATCGAAGAAAATGGAGTTCACATAATTAATAGCTTGCAATCCCATCTTGGGCAGGAAGATGGTTCTCTGCAGTCCTGCAGGGAGTGTCCTGGGCTGGTCACGCCATCCCTTCTGAGCCTCCCAGGGGATGTGCTCCGCCAGGACAACGCCCTCGCGGTGCTCAGTGCCCTCACCAGTCCTCCGCAGTGTGATTTGAACATCAGCATGTTTTCTTAAAAATCTGCTCTCGAGACATCTGCCTTAAACGATGGGGTCCCCAAATGAACAGTTGTCCTCGATAGCAAGGTTGTATTGAGCGCCCTTCCCATCTTTGTAGGTGCTGGTCACTATCCGCATCCAGCCGCGCTCGCCCTGTGACAAGGGGGAGCTCGTGTTAGCTCATCGCCCAGCCCGACCCCACTCAGTACGCCCGCACCCCCTCCCTCTGCCTGGCACTCAGCACAGGCTGCACCACCTCACCGTCTAGCTGCCTCTCCCTTTCCCGTGTGGGACCCCTGCTTGCAAATACCTTTTGTGAGTATTTCACTTTGTTAGTATGTGACATGAGGGGTGGAGGTACCTGCATGGCAAAGGCCAATTCATGGAACCAAAACATGGGTGCTTTGGACCAGATGACTTAACTTCCTACTCTTTCTCCATGTGCAGTCATTTAATAGAAAATACTGATATTGTGCCTGGCAGGCATGGCTCAGTGGTTGAGGGTCGACCTATGAACCGATTTGATTCCCATTCAGGGCACATGCCCGGGTTGCGGGCTCAAACCCCAGTGTGGGGCGTGCAGGAGGCAGCCAACCAATAAGAATATATATACAAAATACCAACATTGTGCCACTTCAACATCCATCACTTCCCCCCATTTCACAATAATGAATGTCTGTGTCTTAAGCCATTAATGGTTCATACTACTTCTTAAAATTAAAATTCTGGCAATCAGTTTCTCTCCCCTGCATTTGTGACACAAACAAAGGTATGAAAAATTATACAGGATTACTGGGCGGAGCCAAAACTGACAGGAAAAAGGACGAGCCGGCTGTGAAGGAATAAGCTAGCTAACCTGCAGCTTCTAGAGCCGAGTCCCCCCAGGCCGTTCCCCCTGAACACATCTGGCAGTGTCTGGAGACGGTCTTGGTTGTCACAACTGAGGACAGGGAGAGCAGCTGCTGGCATCTGGGGCCAGGGGCCAGGATGCCACTTAACGCACCATGCTGCCCAGGACAGTGACAGCCCCCACGCAAGTCAGGTGTCTGACCCTAACGTCACTGGCGCTTGCCGAGGGCCCAGCTCCAAGCCACAAAGCACAGCACCATGGACGTGAGGAGTGCCAAGAGGGACATCTTACCCATGGTTCACCCCACGAGTTCCGGACAATCCAGTACTCGGTCCCATCGCTGACGCCCCAGCCGGCCACGGAAATGATGTGGTTAATGTAGCTCTTCTCCTGGTACTCCGAGTAGATGCCTCCGCTGTAATTCACCATCTTTTCTGTTGCCATTATCCCGCAGCTGGGAGCAAGCAGGGAGGGAATTAGCACTTTGTGAATCTGAGTAAATCTGACCCAGATAGTGCAGCAAGTGAGTCTGCCTGCTGGCAGCACAGCCCACAGCCCGCAGCCCTCGCTGCAGCCGGGCCTTTCCACACACTGCCCCTCACTCCCAACCACCCGAGGGCCCACGGCCTGCTTGGCTCCACTCCTGAGAAAACTCCCCTGGCGGCCATCGGGAGCCGAGCGAGTAAAGGGGTGATGTGCCTGCAGCTGCACCTCCCAGCCGGGGCTGCTCACCTGATGGGGCCGTTGGCGTAGATCTCTGCCATCATCTTCTCCCTGCCGGCCACGGAGCCGTAGTCGCCCACTTTCCAGAGCGTGTAGTTCCGGATGGGCTGACACTCCTTGAACTCCGTGCATGTGCCACACTGGTTGAACTTGTTACACTCTGGGGGTACACACAGTCAGGGAGACCCGCCCTCAGTCATCCGCCCGGGAGCACTCCAGGCCCACCCTGCTCTCGGCTCCCTGACTGACATTAGCGGTCATGGCCATCCCACTGTTTAATCCTGCTGCTCCTGCTGCTGCACAGGAGTCCTAAAGAGCCCAGCCCCAGGCCTCGGTGGGAAGCACAGGACGGACATAGTTAGCACATAGTAGGCACTCAGACAGCCTTTTTTCTTTTCCTTTACTGGCCTGCGGAAGGGCCCTTTCACAAACTCCATAGCTGAAAATAGAGCGTCATTGGATGGTTAGCTCTTAAGATGAGTTAGCTCTTAAGATGCTTAGAGAATAGTCTTATCATTTGGGAAAAAAATAACATTTTTTTAATGATTTTGGTTTGAGGTGATATCAAGAATTAGGCTTTAAAAAACGGCAGCCTTCAGTTCTCCACACCACCCACTGCCTCTGTTCCTGGACCTGGCCCCGCATGTTACCCACATTGCTGTTCTAGTTTCTTATCAGCCCAGGCTCCTCCTCCAGGATATTCGACTCTTTGAGGTTAAAATGGCTTGATGTGTCCTTTGGTCACCAAATGCACAGCACAACCCGCAAGTAGCCACATTCGAGAAACACAAAGACCAGACTATTGCAAACAGCCAGGCTCCTGTCACACCAGGGTTCCAGGGCCCGCCTAATTCCAGATTAGGCAGAGGGGCAGAGTGAGGCCCCAGGGCCCACCTGATTCCTGGTTCCTAGCGGTCATTCTGCCTCCCTTCATCTGTCCCTCTCAGGATCTCAGATTCCTGCAGCCTTTATCACTGCAAGACTGGCCCAACCAGTCTGGGGGAATTCCTTGTGGCTGGGCAATATGGCCCTGAAGGCAAGCTGAGGGCCCGAGGTGGGGTGGGGCCTCAATCTGCTGGGTGCCTCCCAGGCCCGGGGGCTAGGCCATCCCTTTTGTAGGAGAGGGCGGTGGGAAAGCAGCTGGGCTCCCTCTAACCGCCTCCTGCCTCAAACTGCCTGAAACCGGTCCCAGCTCTCTGCTCCAGCTGACAGAGGTAGTGTGGACGAAAGGGGCCACATGCTGACCTGACAGGCTCAGGAGAGGCCTGCGTGGCGGTCTTGCAAATCAGACCTAAAGTCACCACAAAGGATGGCTGAAATTAAACTTTAACTAAGAGCAGTTGTCCTAGTCCGGTATCTTCAAGGACAAGGTCAACTTGTACCTTAACTGAGCCAGTTGTCTTTTTGCATCTATAATAACTTACCCTTGAAACAGCTGGGTAACTTCCCTTTTTCTGGAGCCCCTGGGGCACAACCAAATGTGCTGGGTGTCAGGACTGATACCACAAATTCCTTCATTGTCATGTTAATTGTTCCTGCACCACCTAAGTATGGGTCCATCATTTTACTTTTTTATCTAATTCTAGGGGTTCCATCTCCCCACTCACTACCCTTTGCTTTATCCCACCTCCTTAATCTATCACAAATGAGTTCCATGTAACCCACCTACAGCCCTCCTTGGATTGCAATGTATAAATACAGATGTAACCCCATTCTCCAGAGCTTTATCTCAATTCGTTGAGGTTCTGCTTCCTGGCATATGTCAACAGTTTGGGTCAAACTCACAAAAATTCTTTACAGGTTTCAATGGTTTTTTACGTTAACCGGTGACTTAAAACTGCCAATTAGGGACTTTCTTTCCATTTCAAAGGGAATAGAAAGAAAGGAATGTGCCAACTCCACGGTTTACAGGCCCACTTGGGTCAGCTGGTCCATGCAAGGCCTCTGGACTCCAGTCCACCTGAATGCACACGGCCGGATCATGCGGCAGGAACCAGGCCAGACCATGCTCCTCCCGGGGGGCCCGCTTGCCTCCTAGGCAGCAGCCTGCCTGTGCTCAGCGCGCTCCCGGGAAACTTACTCTTCCCTGCGTGTGGCCACCTGTGCTGCTCTCACAAAGGCCACACAGCCACCGCGTCAGAACAACGGCCCCGCTGCAGGGTCACAGGCTGGTGCCCTTAGCAAGGACTATGGGCTCCAGCTCCCTGCTCCCCGAAACCCACAGGTTTGAGCCTCCCCTGGCACCCCGACCAGGGAGAGGAGCCTGGGTTGTCCTGGAAAGAGGGAGGCAGGGGGAGGGCCTACCCTGGTCCTTGGCCTGGTAGTTGTTACAGGTCTCATCCGGAATGCCGTGCTTCTGGGCGTAGGCCCACACCTCCAGGTCGTTGCCCCCCTCGCAGGAGCCGGCCTCCGCGCAGTCGATGACGTGCTGCACGGACAGGAGGGTGGAGGGCCAGGCCCCCTTCCTCTTGATGTTGATCCGATCTGCAAGCACACCGTGGGACTCAGCACCAGCCTGCCCTGCCGCTGGCCCCTCAGTGAGGCCCTCTCCCAACGGCCCCGAGGGAACCTCGGCCCTTCCCTTCGCCGCACTGACGTTTGTGGCCTCACCACCCGACGGGAAGGGATGTGGGCTGGGCCGAGCTGGAGATGCCCCCAAGAGCCCACTGAGGAACTGGAAGGGCCAGGAGCAAGGGCAGCTGAGCCCAAGGCCAACAGCCCCTGGGAGGCTGGGCGGGACCGGCCGGAGGGCACTGCCCCACTGCTGGTGGCATCTGCACCACGGGACTGGGAGGCAAAGGCAGGGCCCTGAGCAGCCAGCCAGGATCTGGTCAGTGTTGACTCTGCCTGTGGGCAGGGCCCACAGCCCACTGTGGGCACCAGGGACAGCCCCAGCAGGTAACTCTTTCCGGAAGGATTTCTCTTTGCCTTAAGCCCGTTGTTGCTATACATTTAGGTGAACACACCTTGGAAACACCTTTCAGACCCCTCAAGAGCAACCCAGGAGGGCACTGGATCTGGCTAACAATCCCACAACCAAGCGGCCCTGCTTCCTCACCCCCCCCCCCCCCCCCCGTAATTCCCCCTGAATTCCAAATGTCACTGCCTGGGGCACTGGAGATACTGCTTCCAGGTAACTCTTCAGCTTTGGCTTAAACGCTTACAAAAATTCTCTAGAGATTTGGATATTCCTGGTCCAGAGGGGAGAGGGCGGAAGTGGGAAGGACGGGTTGTTGGGTCTGAACATGTGAGGTTTGGAGGGGCCAGACTTCCAAGCGAGAGGGAGTGTGGGGGCTGGTGTAACGCTGAGGGGAGAGTTTGGGCTGGGCGGGGCCAGGGACCTGGTCCTGGGGAAGCCGAGGTTCACTGGTGAAGCTGGGAGGACGGGGAGCCTGGGAGAGCGGGAAGGAGGTGGGCGAGTGCTAAAAGCATTTGTTGCCCAGGAGGTGGAGGCCCGGGCTGACCACTGGGCCTGCCTGCATGGCAGCTCTGGCCAGTGACCTTGCAGCCAAGTGGAGTGAGGCCGCAGTGGGCTCAGGATGGGGAGGAGGAAGCAGGGAAGCCCACAGAGGGAGGTGGCTGAAGGCAGGCCGGGGCCACGCTCCTGCACAAAGTGAAGGCCGAATCTGAGCACAGGGAGGCGTGGCCTGGGCACGCGGGACGCCCAGGGACCAGAGGGGAGAATAAACCAGCTGTGTTGGGTGGCAGCTGGGTGGCCCCGTGGAAGTTCCCTTCTGGAGACTTCTGCTTTCTCAATAAAAGTGGAAGGAGAACTGGGCCGCTGGGGAAATGGAGGGGTGAGGAGAAAGGGAGAGAAAGGGCCTCAGTCCAGGAAATTCCCCCAGAACTGAGGCTGGTTGATCATCCTAAAGGGACTGTCAAAGGCAGGCCCAGCCCCCTCCCAGCTTCTTCAAGGCTCCTCGAGGGGCCTCCCCGGGACAGGCCCAGGGGACTTGTGCAGCCTTCCTCTCCCCTCCCCCACTGGGCCCTTTCACTTCCTCATCCGAGTGCGCTGTCCCTGACCACCTACGGCCTCTGCCCTTCCCCTGCCTGTGCCACGCCTTCCAGTGGTTCAGTGGTTTGAGCTCTGGCCTGTCTAGCTCCTGGCCGCCCTGCTCTCCCAGGGGTTCCTACAACTTCCAATTGGGCCTCAGCCTACCTGCCCCTTCCTCCTTCTTCCTGGAGATCAGGGGTACATTGCAGCCCCCAGGGTCCCCGGGCAAGGCCACCAGGGAGACCCCAGCGGAGGCCACTCCTTCAGCAGGCCTCCCTGAGCTCTGGCCCTGAGGCGGCTTCCCAGCGGGAGGTCCCTCCGCCCAGGGGCTTCCAGGGAGGGTGGCTCCCCTCCCCCTGGCCAGGCCCACAGCCTCCTCAGGTGCTCCGACCTCAGGCCAGCCGCCCTCTCACAGGCCGAGGTCCCCGCAGCATTGCTCACACTCCAAGCCCAGGCCGGCCGGCCGGCACCTCCACTGCCAACCTCCCTGGAGAAGCAGCAGCTTCCTCTCTCCCAGGGACACCAGGGCGTCTGTGTTCCCACATCTGGATCCTCTTTGGGACACAGAAGGCCCCTGGGGGCCACTGTCACGGCTCCCGTCCTGCCCACTCGCGTGGGGCCCCGCCAGCCTGGGCACCGGCCCTGCCCAGGCAGCCTGGGCCTGCGGGCGGACACCCTGCGGGCTGGGCCTGTGCCGGAGGGCGCCCACACCTACCCGCACCTACCGGCCATGGCGCTGGTGCTGCCGTGGGCCCAGCAGGAGCCGCAGTACTGGGGGATGTGCTGGTTGCGGGTGACGCTGGCATAGTTGACCCCGTCCACGTTGCGCCAGTCCCAGCTCTTGGGCAGATCCGACGGGGCCAGGTACTCGTGAGGCCGCGGGTAGGTCCTGGGGAAAGGCAGGATCAGGACCCGGCCTCCCTCCATCCCCGAGCCCTCCCCCAGGCCGCCCCAAAGGCAGGGGCAGGGCTCCCCGGATGTGAAGAGAAGAGAGACTCTTCCCCCCCCCCCCCACCCCACACAACTGCATCTGACCCTCAAAGGTCAAGGAGGGCAGGTGCCCAGGAGGCGGCAGGGCCCCGGGAGGAGGAGCGCGGAGCCCGGGCTGACCTGCGCCCCGGGGGGGCCAGCCGGTCCCCGCGCGGCGCCCGGTAGCAGCCCGGGCCCGGGAGGGGGCGGCCGGCCCGCGCGCCCGCCAGCAGCACGAGCAGCAGCAGCAGCAGCAGCAGCGGCCCCGACGACGCCATGGCTCGAACCCGCACCGGATCCCGCGCGGCACCCTCGGCCCGCGCCTCCCGGCCTGGCTCCGGCCCGGCCCCGCCCGGCCCTTAAGGTGGCGGCGCGGGCGCCCGGACACTCCCCCGGGGCGGGGCGGCCCGGCCCGGTGACCCCGGCCCCGCCCGGCCCGCGGGCAGAGGCTCAGCCGCAGCCCCGGCGGGAGGGGCCAGGCGGGGTCACGTGCCGGGCTGGAGCCGGACCCCAGGCCTGACCCCTGGCTGGCCACCGGCCACGTGGCTGGGGGGCCTGGTGAGCACATCCGAGCCAGACCTCGAGGGGCCCTGGGCGGGGTGGCCGGGACAACAGCCTGGGATTCTCGGGACCCTCACCCCTGTCCCGGCATCCCGCCTGGGCCCAGCCTCTCCCCAGTCCTGGAAGAAAGCCCCTGTCCCCGCAGAGTCTGCCCTGGCTGGCTCTCTGCACCCTGTGGCGGGGGCCAGGCCCCCTGGATTGAGGCCGCCCCTCACGGAGGAGGCAGTGCCAGGCTTCTTGGCACAGAAATCCTTGCTTCTGCGATCTGGCTTCCAAGATGCTGCCGAGGCTTCCTGCTGACGAAGCTCTTCAGGGTCAAATGCGGAACTGAAAGCAGAAGTGGGGAGCCGTGGCCTCGATTTCGTAACAACAGGCATCCCTCCCTCCCTCCGCCGCCCGGGACTCAGAGCCGCTGCCTCAGCTGGAGGAAGGGTCCGCTGGCCCCTTCCTGGGCCTGTGCTGCCTGACAATCAAAATCAAAATGACTGCCTCCTGGACTCCCAGCAATTTCCGGGGCCACCTTAGGAGTGCTGAAGTGACCACGGGACCCCAACGGGGCTGGACACCTGTCCGCAGTGGACACCTGTCCCAACGGGGCTGGACATCTGTCCGCAGTGGCTGTCAGGGCAGCCGAGGCCTCAGGTGGAGCGCAGGCACTGCATTCTCAGCCAGAAGTTCCGTCCCTGTTCCTGAAAAGCCACTGGGAGCTCGGTGTGGTCACGGCCCCACCCTCGGATGTGCTCTTTCCCTTCTGGGAAAGCCCTGCGTTTGTCACTGGCAGGTGACTTGCAGTCACACAGGCCCCGGGCTCCAGGGCCAAGCTCCCCGTGATGCTGCCGCCCGCAGAGGCTGGCCCGATCACGTGGCCTCCACCCTGGCTGCTGGAGGCCAGGGTCCCGCTGGGAAGGTCACACAGGCTTGTGGAATGCAGCTTAGCCTGAGGGAGGGAGGGGTGGTGACACTCAGGCTGGTGGTGGGAGGAAGTCAGGCTGCCTCGAAGTGGCCCACCCGCCTTTCCCTGACACAGAAGCAAGCCAGACTCAGAAAGCGATGAAGGAAATCGGGCAGCAGGATGGGGAGGGAGTCTAGACATTTGAAACCACAACTTGCAAGGAGAGAAGTGAGCGAGTGAGGGCGGGGGTGACACGCTCTGTCTCTCTAGCCCCCGGACAGTCAGAGGTATTGAGCCAGGGCCCTTCACCTGTGAACTTGGCTGTGACCAGGGATGCTGAGGCTCTGAGAGGGGGGTGGCCTGGGACCAGCCTGACCCACGTGTCAGCCTGCAGACTGTGGTCCGAGCACTGCAGCTGACTGCTAGGGAAGGGCACACAGATCAACGCGAAAGGCCGCTGGGCTCAGGGGGAGGAAGAGCCTGCTGGGCTGGCCTCCGGGCCTGCTCCTCTCTCCACACAGCAAGTGCACCTGGCAGCCAGTCCTGTGAGGGCATCCTATCTCATAAAAGTGTAATATGCAAATTAGCTTTCAATCTGCTACACCCACAAGCCATGCCCACCAGCCAATCAGGAGCAAATATGTAAATAAACCAAACTAAGATGGCTTCAGCCACAGAGAACAGAAGGGAGGCTTGGGTTTCCCAGGCAATGGAGGAAGCCAAGCTTTCCACACACCCTGGCTGGTCCAGGCCTCTCCACATCCCAGGGGAACCCCCACCCTGATCTGGGACACCCTTCAGGGCAAACCAGTTGGCCCCCACCCATGCACCAGGCTTCTATCCTATCTAATAAAAGAGTAATATGCAAATTGACCATCACTCCAACACACAAGATGGCTGCCACAAGATGGACAGCAGGGGAAGGCAGTTGGGAGGGACCAGACCTGCAAGGGAGGCCAGTTGGGGGCGATCAAGCCTGCAGGGGAGGGCAGTTGGGAGGGAACCAGGCCCGCAGGGGAGAGCAATTGGGGAAAGATCAGGCCTGCAGGGGAAAATCAGGCCGTTAGGGGTGATCAGGTTGACCAGGGAGGGCAGTTAGGGGTGACCAGGCCTGCAGTGGAGGGCAGTTAGGGACAAACAGGCTGGCAGGGAAGCAGTTAGACATCAATCAGGCTGGCAGGGGAGTAGTTAGGGGTGATCAGGCAGGCAGGCAGAAATGGTTAGGGTGATCAGGAAGGCAGACAAGTGAGCAGTTGGGAGCTGGCAGTCCTGGATTTTGAGAGGGATGTGTGACTGCCCATTTAGGCCTGATTGATGGACATCTTTCGAGGGGTCCCAGATCGGTGAGGGTGCAGGCTAGGCTGAGGGACACCTCTCCCCCCACCTCACCTGGCACAAATTTCATGCACCAGGCCTCTAGTCCTATATAATAAAAGGCTAATATGCAAATCGACTGAACAGTGGAACAACTGACTACCAGGGGAGTGTCTCTCAGCCAGAAGCTGGGCTCAAAGCTGGCAAGTGCAGTGGTGATGGCAGGAACCTCTCCCACCTACCTCGGCAGCAGTGGGACATCCCCTAGGGCTATCATACTGCAAGAAGGCGCAGGCTGGGCTGACGGCTCCCCCTCCTCTCCCCTGAGTGCATGAATGTCATGCACTGGGCCTCAAGTGTGTGATAAAGACACATCTTCTTCAGCCTGGAGCAGAGGGGGCTGGGCAGGGGCCCACCAGCTCTAGCCACTCCCTCCTGGACTCTGTGTGACCCACCTGGGGCCCCTGGGGCAAGTCCGTCAGGTGCTGAGACGTGGGGTCACCCTGAAACCACCACCAAGCCCCCTCTCTGGAAGCCTGCCTGTGCCCTGGCGTTTCCCTCCTGGGCAGAACTGAGTCACACCTGCTTCTAAAGGCAAAGGCGGTGACATTCTAGAATAGTCTCCAGGGTGGGAATCATCTGTCCTCTAGATGTTGGCACAGCCCTGTGAGGTGGGGCCAGATGCTATCTCTCCATTTTATAGGAGGAGAGACTGAGACTCCACAGAAGTCAGGAGACCTGTACTTAGCACAGGCTCGTGGGTGGCAGGTTAGAATCTAGTCCCCCTCCCCTTTCTTTTCCTCTGTAAAGTCTCCTGACACATACTCTCCAAGGCCACAACACAAAAGCCCATTATTTCTAAAATTAGGGTTGATTTCCCCTCGTCCCGATGAAGAACACACATACTTCCTAGCTGGGCCGGGCCTGGCCCGCTCCCCCACTGGGAGGAGAGTGTGGACAGGTGGTCTCTGTGTCTGTGGAATTTCCTTGGAACCTTCCCCCGTTGGAACCTTCAGGCTGCGTGGCCACGTCCTGGATGCCGGTGTTGTTGGAGGGGTGCTGACCCTGCTCGCCAGGCACGCCTGGCTTCCCAGGGCACTTTGGCATTTGCCAGCGCAGGGACCCTCTCCATCCACGTGGCCATGAGGTCCGATGCTCCAGCTGAGTCCCAGCCGCCTTAGCAGGGGAAGCCTTCTGATGGGTGGGGCGGGTGTGACTCATCCTGCTGCTGTCCCCAAGGGTGTCACCATCAACTCCTCTTGGACACACACTGGCTTCCCTGGGACCCCGTTCATGAGGTCTGCTGTCAGCATGACCTTCAGAACATGTTGGCCGTGGCCGAGCTGGGAATGTTGAGTTTGCCTGGAGCTGCCATGACCTCTGTCTGGAGGTCCTGGTCATACCGGCCAGATGTCAGGCAGTCACAGGTATGTGCCGAACCACGGTGCTAGCCCCTGGCGTGAGGAGCTTACACGCGGGAAAGGGCACATGGAGAAAGAAAGCCCTCCGGGAGGAGAGGTGCCTGGAAATGGATACAGCAGGGCCAGCTGGAGGTGGGGCCTCTGGAGAGGGCGCTCCAGGGAGACGGGACTGGTGGTGGCAGTGAGGACACGGGCAGCTGGGTGGGTGCTCACCCAGAAGAAGCTGAGGGGCATGAGGCAGGTGGGGTGGCTGACGAGGTCACGGAGAGCTCAAAGGTGCCCTAAGCATGCCCCTCCGGCATCCAGCCGGCACAGCTGCTGTGTCCTGCCTACCGCCCGCAGCCACGCTTCCTGCAGGTGCTGCCCAGGAGGTGCGGACCCTCTGCCCTGCATCGCAGTCTCTGCAAGCCCCCTCCCCGCCTCTCCCGGCATCTTCTCCGAGGGTCTGAGCCCCGTAGGCTGTGTTGAGAGGGGCGGTTTTCCCCGGTGGCAGAGGCTCCTGAAGGGCAGGGCCTGGATTAGGCAATAAGATCCCTCTGGCAGCCATGGGCCGAGGGGTGGAAGGAGGCAGAGTGAGGCCAGGTGGGCCTGCTGTGGTCAAGGCCGGGCACTGAGGATGCCCCGCAGAGAGGAGGCAGCAGGCACACGGCTACCTGTCTGGGAGGCAGAGCTGGCAGGACCCAGGCGTGGGCCAGGGCTGGAAAGAAAGAGGAGGTAAGCAGTCTGGGCTCCTCAGATGCCTCATTGGAGGCCAGCAGGCTGACCCCTCTCTGCACCTCACATTGTACCCCTGGACTTTGGGGCCTGAGACCTGCAACCCGACCCTCACTCTGGGACTCCAGTGAGCCGGTTTCTCCTCCGAGCCTCCGACTCCCAAGTGAGGGGGCAGAGACCTCAGCAAAGGCCAGTGGAAAGGGGGCCAGGGCTGTGTGTCTGCATCCTTGAAGAGCAGGCCCCCTTCCCTGCTTCCCCGAGGTCCCTCAAGCCCCCGGAGAGCACCTGGCCAATGTTTGTTGGATAAACGAATGGGTCTCTGAGAGGCACACACAGGCCTCTTGGACAAACACTGGCTTGAAGGAGAGTGTGTTCTGTTTGGTTTCAGCTGCAGGTGCTGGCGGTGCCGTGCTTATCTCTGCTTCCGCCCAGAACGGTGCTTATCAGGTCCTGTCCGCCTGGGGAGGGAGAGGGAGCGGACGGCTAACGTCCCTGCAGAATCACGGCCGTTCGGGGAAGTGCATGTGCTTGCGTGTGTATGCGTGTGCATGTGTGTGTGCGTGTGCATGTCTCCTCCTGCACCTTGGAGGTGGCTCAGCCCCGCTCTGACCCTTGATGTGCCCAAAGAGCTGGCAGAGCGTCTCGCTGCCCGGGCCCAGAGACCAATGAGGGAGCACGGGGTGCAGAGTGGCCCCCAGGCCAGCGTGGTGTGGGTGCCCCGGGGGTTTCCGCTGGGGACCAGGCCTGAAACTTCTCCACGACGCCGGGCAGCCTTGTGGGAACACAGCCGTGCGCTCCCAGCCCCTCCTCTCTGTGAATTACTTGTTCTTGCTCCAGAACTTTCTCTCGCAGCTACAGAACACCGAAGCCGAGGATAGGAACGGGGAGCGGGCGCAGCGGATCTGCCCACACCGCTGAGTCACTCATAATGGCCCCTCAGATGTCATTTTCTTGCGAAGACATTTGGAAAAATTTCTGCCTCTGAATCACAAGCAAACACTATAATTCAACAATCTCCTCGGAGTTATTCACGGAGCTTTGATGTACCCAGAAGAGGATCAGGGGCGGATGAAATCAATGAATTCTAAGTGTGCTGTGTTTTTCCTGATTCCATGTCATTTGTCAAATTCGCGGCGGGGAGGGGGGGCTCCATCTGACCACTGGGGGCACTCCTGGAGGAAGTCCTGGAGCGGCCGATCGGGGTTCTGGTGACACTGGTTTTCCTTATCGTTGTAGTCCTGTTCCCATAATAGACGCAGTGACATGCAGGAAGGGCTGGCTGCCACCGCATCTTCTCGCTGCCAACATGCGCGAGGGCGGTGCCCAGCTAAGGGTCATTTCGCGTCCGGCAGTGTCACCACCGTGCATTCTCTGGGATGCTTTTGCTTAAGCTCTGTCCTCTGTCCTCTGTCCTCTGCCCTCTGCCCTCTGCCCTGATGTGCGCTGATGCTCTGAGCAGTCACTGCTAACCTGCCTTTGCCACGGCCCTTCTCTGGGGGACAAAGGACTGTCCTTCGTCACAGACGGCCACTCTCCATCCCTCGCTGCGGTTCAGGGCTGTCACCTCCTCCGGGTGGGAGCGCAGAGCTGTGTCCCAGGAGGGTCTGCCTCCTCTGGTCTGAGGAGGGTTCTCTGAGGCGGGCTCTTCCACGGGGCACAGCCCCCTTCACCAGGACAGTGGCCGCTCTCAGCCCCCTGCCTGTCTTACCGCTGCTCCACCCAGGCCTCTGACACCGGACAGCCAGCCTCTGTGCCCGCAGCAGCTCAGCCCGGCACGTGGTAGGTGCTCACCACCTAGACATGGACGGTGCCGACTACACAGGGAGCCGCAGCCTCTAACACCCTGAGGCCAACTCGCAGATCGCCGCCTGCGAAGGCACAGGCCCCACCGCGGCGGCACCTGCTACCCCGCGTGGCCACGGAGAAAGCTCTGGCTCAGGAAGGAGGTGGCCCACGGGCGGCTGCGCCTCAGCCCCGGACCCTGGGCTCCCTGCCCAGCATCTGCCCTCGCCCAGCGGTGTCAGATCTGAGTGCAGGCCCAGACTGAGCAAACACTGCCGGCAAACGGATCAGAGCAAACAGCGCCTCTTCTTTCCTCTTCTGCCAACTGCCCATTAACAGGAAAACCTTTCAGACGCTCATCGGGCCTGGCCCCCTCCCTGAGCAAACTGAGATGGCCGGGAGGAATGTGCTGGGGGGAGGCGGGGCACCCCCAGCTCCTGCCCACTCAGCGAAGAAGGAGCACAGAGATGGAGGGCCCCGCCCGGCGGTGTCCCCGCAGTCCCCGGGCCCTGTGAGCGGCTCTCACAGCACCTGCGGTCACCCCGTCAACAGCCACTTAGGGGTTGGAGGGAAAAACCCTCCGTCTCCCCCGCCCCACCCGGCCCCATGAGGACATGCTCTGAACAAATACATTATTGCCTTATGAAAACTCGCGCGGCTGCTCACACTGGCCCAGCTGTCTGTGTGCGCTCCGCAAACATTTGCTGAGGCCCCGCTACCTGGGGGCAGGTGGGGGGCTCGAAGGTGGAGAGATAGTGGCGGCTCCCAGACGGGCGGAGATAAGGCCTGAGAATAAGTGATTAGCAAACAGGACCGAGTAAAGTGCTGGGGCCGCAGGCGTGTGTGTGTGTGTGTGTGTGTGTGTGTGTGTGTGTGTGTGTGAGAGAGAGAGAGAGAGAGAGAGAGAGAGAGAGAGAGAGACACCCCCAGGGACTGAGGGGAAGGTCAAGGTGCTCCAGGAAGTCACAGGGGAGCAGCGCTGGAGTCTGGGAGTCTGTCGGAGTCTGATGAGCAGGGGAAGCGGGGAGGTCAGCAGGGGGTGAGGGAAGAGGGCGCCCAGGGAAAGGGAATGGGGTGACATCCATGAGAGCTGACGGCCTATTTTTTTCATTTGTGAAAAGTACTGCCAGACACCGCACACTCTTCCGTCTTGAATGTGCACTTTCTTCTCTTTACCTTTGAGGGGGCATGGTTTGCACCAGAGACGTCTGTGAAGCCTGTGGTCGTTGAGGTTTGAGCAGAAGGAACTTCCCAACCTGAGGAGTGCTCCCCGAGCTCATCCCACACCCCGTGGGGAAATGCACCTGCTGTCACCAATGAGCCACCCTGGCTCACCTCTCCCTGTATCACATTTTATTGTGCTGCCTAAATGTTTGCGACTAAATGCTGACCTGGTGACTCTTGACCTGAGTGCGTCACGGTATCTCCTGAAAACAGGATTTCTGTTTGTATAAGCCCCAGGCCCGGTCACATGGAGCAGCTCAAACACGGACAGTGTTATTGAGCAATGTGCGCCATCTATGCCCCCGACTGTCCTGGGGCGCCCTTCACAGCACCTTTCCCGGCCCAGGGTCTTCGGGACAGCGGCAGCCAGAGCAGCTCTCGAGCCAGCCCCTGGGGGACAAGCCCTCCTTCCCCACCTCTGGGGTTTGCTTCCAGTGGACAGCTCAGGTCCTTCCTGGACAAATGCCTTTGAGAGGATTAAAGGCTATTTACCTCCACCTCCCCCCCCCCCCAAGTCCATTGTCAGCAACTTTTCTTTGCCATCCCCCGGATCCTGTCTCAGGCTGCCCAGGCCGGGAAGTACACAGGGTTTAGGAGCCAAGGGTCTGGAAAGGCCCAGGAGGCAAGACTGACCCCTCAACCGACATCCCCTGTCAGGTCAGAGGCTGGAGGACCGGGGCCGGGGCCTCTGAGCTGATCCACTTCAGTCCTGCTTTTGGATTCACATCCTGGGGACTTGGCTTCCTAAGTCAGTCACCCCCTCGGAGAGCTCCGGGACTCTGGCTGCCGGCACCATCTCCTCCATTCCTGAGCCCCCAGCTCCCACAGTGTGCGGGTATTGGGCAGGTGCCGGTCGGTAGCTGTCCGCTGATGAGGGCCTGCCTCGGGCCCGGGCAAAGACCGAGAGAGGCCTCCGGAAGCAGGAGCTTGCTGGGGACAGTTGCACATGAGCGGGGGCTTCAGGACTGAGGTGTGGCTCTGCCTGCACCCCCAGAGCTCTGAGCTGCGGGACAGGGTTGGCTGTGGAGAGGGGGGCCAGAGCCTAGTTTTGCAAGTTGCTTGCTGAGAGCTCAGGGAAGCATCTGAGGGTCCGGCAGAGTGGGTCCATCCTCTGCTCCCCCCAGCACAGCTGTCCTCGGCTGGGCCTTGGCCAAATGGAAATGTGGGTGGGCGTCCCTGAGCCCCGGAGCACCCTTGGTCTGCTCAGGGAACCCCTGGCGGGCAACGAGCCCCAGAAGCAAGACAAGAGCAAAGGGGACAAGAGAACCAGGGCTCGAAAGGGTGATGAGGGGCCAGGCTCAGTGTCATACCACATGCCTCACCAGCCAGTGCCGAGTGTTCATCTCGAAAGCCCATCCCTGGTGCTGGGCTGCCGGGCACCATGCACAAGGGCAGCCTTTGGTCTTGAACTCTAGGAAATGACCGGGCAATATTCTGTGCGGGGAGAGGAAAAGAACACCCCCTTCCTTAGGATGATCGGCAGAATGCAGAGGGCTGGGCCGGCCTCGGGCTGGACACACCCTTGGGTCACACTGGGGGGCAGCCGGTCTCATCCCTGCGAGGACCAGTCGTGCTGGGCTCCCACTGGCGAAGGGCGTCTCTCCCAGGGCCTGAGGACTCCGTGAAGACCTTGCCCTCGGGCACAAAGCAAGGATGCGTGAGATTGTGCACATTCAGATCGGCCAGTGTGGCAACCAGATCGGATCCAAGGTAAGGCGCCCTCACTCCTCGCAATGGCTTCCCCACGGGGCAGGGGCGGCCGGCTGCACGCGCTTGCTGGGCGTTTGATTATTAAACGGCCTCTAATTAGACTCAGGAAGCAGCACAGGCGTACAGGGTTAATTGAATTCATGTTAATTTTGTGGAGTCTCTTGTGTACGATACACATCAACTATTTTTACTTTTATCATCCTTAAGTAATAAACTTTTGATATCTGAAAATAGTAATTTGTCTCCAAACAGTTTTCCAAGGTTTGTTGGGAAACTTTCAACACCATATCTCGAAGCTATCTTTCCCTCCCCTTTAGATTATAAAGTTAAAAGGACCAACAACTGCTGTTTCATTTAATATGCAACAGGAAAGTAAATGGTAAACCTCCAAGGTTTGTGCCCAGGAGCAATAAGAGTTAAAATACACGCTCTGGAATATAAGTGAGTTTTTCTTCTCTCCCTTTACCCCCCCAACATTTTCTACAAAGGACCCGGCCCAGAGGGTAATGCTAGGAAAACCCTGAGAGCGCCCGGTGCCTCCAGCCCCCATTGGAAGATGACCAGTCTTATGGTCTCCGATTGTTCTCATTGCTGTTGTTAAATTACCTTTACAATATGAACTGTATTTAAACCGTCTTTAAAATGTTAAAAAGACAAAAACAAAAAAAAATTGGTGAAAGACAGCATAAAACTTACCACCTTCACTATTCTCCCCCGTCACCTTAACTATTTAAAAGGGTGTCTAACTCAGTGTCTCTTGCAAACCTGAAACTCTGCTAAATGGTAAGCCCACATTCCTCTCCCAGCCTGGCCCCTTGTCCAGGTCCCTCCTGCAGGCTGTCATCAGCATTTGTCCTTTATGTCATGAGCACAAGTCCTCAGGCTCATCCAGGCTATCGCAGGTGACTGGATGTCTCTCCTTTCTTTTTAAAAAATCCCCCTCGGAGGACATTCTTGTTGATTTTTGAGAGGAAGGGAGAAACATTGATGTGATCAACACCAACCAGTTGCCTTCCAGAAGCCCTGGACTGGGGATCGAACCCGCAACCTAGGTATATGTCCTGACTAGGAGGTGAAGCCACAAACTTTTGGTGCACCAGACGATGCTCCAACCCACGGAGCCACCCCGCCAGGCTCCTTCCTTGCTTAAGGCTGAATATCTCTGTGTGGCTGGACTGCATTAGTGACCCTCATCCCTGATGGACAGGGGGCTTTCTCCACTGTCTGCCGCTGTGGGCGCCGCTGCTGGGCAGAAGCCAGTCTTTGGACAAAGACGCTTGCTGCTCGAAGGGAAGCATCGCCCTTCCCCACGACAGTGATAAGATGTTCACCCTGCGGCCCGCGGGGGAGGCCCAGCCCCACTCCCTGACGCTGGGAGATAATGTGGACGGAGGCCCTCGGGAGGGCCAGCAGTGCAGATAGGGACTTAGCGCTCCCTCCAGAACTCTGGGCAGAACCACAGCTGCTACTTAGTATTTGGGTCCATAAGGACTTCATTTGTGGTGTCATAGGACTTAACTTTACTGACTCTCCCCCACCCTGAACAGTGCTGGTCACCTACTGCAAAGAAGCTCGGGGCCCCACAGAGCCATCCCTCACAGGGGGTGGCTGGGAAAGCCCGAGGGCCGTGAGCATAGGTGTGCTCGTTGCAGGGGCCCATGGGCTTCCCCAGGGCAATGAAAGAAGGCGTCCGTAACTGTTTCTATCTGAGAGCTAGGCATGGGTCTACATCAGTAAGTGCTGTGTGTGATTGGTGTGATTTTGAACTGTGTGCTCACATGATCATCAGAATGCGCACCGCTTGCATCGGGCAGACTAGTAGATGTCCCCGTTACAGGCTTTTGGGTGAACTTCGTGAAAATAAACCTCCAAAGGGAAGTGCGATATTACTGTGAAAGCAGCTAAGGGTTCAGTCTGTTTTCATTCTGCAGTCTACACTTTATTATTATTATTTATCAGTCCTCACCTGAGGATATTTTTCCATTGACTTTTAGAGAGAGTGAAAGACAGAGAGAAATACCGATGTGAAAGACTCACATCAATTGGTTGCCTCCTGCATGTGCCCAGACCTGGGACCTTTCAGTCCGCAGGCCAACACTTTATCCACTGAGCCAAACCGGCTAGGGCTGAGAGTCTATACATGCTTGGAGCACTACAGGTGAAATTAGAGCTACACTGTGATGGGAAAGTCTAAACAACAGCTTTAATATCTGCAACAGCCTGAATTTAATCAGAGCAAAATCCAACGTAATGCACGTTGCAGTCCATTTGGGGAATTCAGGTGGGTATGGAGAGCGGTCTTCAGGTGCAGCCATAGTAGAGGCACAAAGCAGAGTCACAGTGGTGGGGATTCATGAAAAGGACCAGAAGCATGTGTTGGGGAGGGACAGGCCAGGAGACCCAGGGAGGCAGGCCCAGGGCACCTCCTGTCTTCCTGTCCAACTGCAGCCAACACAGCCTTTTCCGAGTCCCTATGCGCACTGACCACCTTCCTCTGCTTCCAGTTCTGGGAGGTGATTGGTGAGGAGCATGGCATCGACCCGGTGGGGAGCTACGGCGGGGACTGCGCCCTGCAGCTGGAGAGGATCAGTGTGTATTACAACGAGGCCCACGGTAGGAGGCTCTGCTCTGGAGCAGCCAGTGCTCACAGGGACCACGAGGTGTCCATGGGCGACGTCCGGGCACGTCCGCAGGACACTGAGTGACAGGCTCCCCAAGCCCGGCTCAAAGAAGTCACTAAAGGGGGGCACAGTTTAAGCTCCAACCTTCCCATTTGGATTTTAAATAAAAACCAGCTGCATTTCCAATAGGAACAGAATCTTTGTCCTTGGCAACGTAACACAACAAATCAATAATGGAAAAGTGATTTTTAAGGCGCTTTGTAGATTTGTGTGTTGTTAGGGTCAGGATATGATTGCAAATCTCTACCAAAGACACCATTTTTTTTGGTGGTTGGGGGGGGGGGGAGGAGGGGAAGGGGCCAGTATCACAAGGTTCTATTTTGATGAAACATTAATTTTTATTTTATTTAAAGAACATTTTTCTTGATTACAGAGAGGAAGGGAGAGGGGGAGAGAGATAGAAACATCAATAATGAGAATCACTGATCGGCTGCCTCCTGCACGTCCCCTACGAGGATGGAGCCCGAGATCCAGGCATGTGCCTTTGACCAGAATCAAACCAAGGACCTTTCAGACCCCAGGCCGACACTCTAGCCACTGAGCCAAACTGGTTAGGGCGAAGCATTAACTTTTAGAAAAAAAAAAAAAAAAAACAAGTTTGCTGACTCCTTCCGATCTTTCTGCCCAGGTAAGAAATATGTGCCCCGAGCCGTCTTGGTGGACCTAGAACCTGGGACGATGGATAGCATCCGGTCTAGCAAATTGGGAAGCCTCTTTCAACCAGACAGCTTTGTCCACGGTAGGTTTTTCTGGAAGGTCCCATCGGGACGAGAGAAGGATGCCTGCTAACGGTGTCCTCCTCTCTCCACCCTGTCTCCTCTGCCTCCGGGGAGGTAACCACGTGTCCTCTGCCGCAGGTAACTCGGGGGCTGGCAACAACTGGGCCAAGGGCCACTACACGGAGGGAGCGGAGCTGCTGGACAGCGTCCTGGACGTGGTGCGGGGCGAGAGCGAGGCCTGCGACTGCCTGCAGGGCTTCCAGATCGTGCACTCGCTGGGCGGGGGCACCGGCTCAGGCATGGGCACGCTGCTCATGAACAAGATCCGGGAGGAGTACCCCGACCGCATCCTCAACTCCTTCAGCGTCATGCCCTCGCCCAAGGTGTCGGACACGGTGGTGGAGCCCTACAACGCCGTGCTGTCCATCCACCAGCTGATCGAGAACGCCGACGCCTGCTTCTGCATCGACAACGAGGCTCTCTACGACATCTGCTTCCGCACCCTGAAGCTGACCACGCCCACCTACGGCGACCTCAACCACCTGGTGTCCCTGACCATGAGCGGCATCACCACCTCCCTCTGCTTCCCGGGCCAGCTCAACGCCGACCTGCGCAAGCTGGCCGTGAACATGGTGCCCTTCCCGCGCCTGCACTTCTTCATTCCCGGCTTCGCCCCGCTCACGGCCCAGGGCAGCCAGCAGTACCGCGCCCTCTCGGTGGCCGAGCTCACCCAGCAGATGTTCGATGCCCGCAACACCATGGCCGCCTGCGACCCCCGGCACGGCCGCTACCTGACGGTGGCCTGCATCTTCCGGGGGAAGATGTCCACCAGGGAGGTGGACGAGCAGATGCTCGGCGTGCAGACCCGGAGCAGCAGCTGCTTCGTGGACTGGATCCCCAACAACGTCAAGGTGGCCGTCTGCGACATCCCGCCCCCAGGGCTGAGCATGGCCGCCACCTTCATCGGCAACAGCACGGCCATCCAGGAGCTGTTCACCAGGGTGTCGGAGCACTTCGCGGCCATGTTCAGGAGGAAGGCCTTCGTGCACTGGTACACCGGCGAGGGCATGGACATCAGCGAGTTCGCGGAGGCCGAGAGCAACCTCCACGACCTGGTGTCCGAGTACCAGCAGATCCAAGACGCCAAAGCCGGCCTGGAGGAAGACGAGGAGGTGGTGGGGGAGGCAGAAACCGAGGCAGAGGATAGGGAGGGCTGACCGAGCGCGGCTGGCTGGGAGCGGCTCTTCACACGAGTGCTTTGGGCACAATCCCAAGGCTGCTCCGCTGAGCAGCACCGAAAACCACTGCTCACAGCCACTCAGTGTTAGCTCAGCCACGGGCACGGGCACGGGCAGGGGCACAGGCAGAGGCAGGGTACGGGCAGGGGGCGGTGGGTGGGATGGGGACATCACTGATGGCTTCAGGGTCTTCTCTGGCGCTGTATTCCATGCACTGTCTGCACTCCTTTGAACAGTAAAGTGAATTTATCACAAAGTACTCCGTTTGCCTACAACTGTTTACTGTGTGGGCAGCACGTGCGGGCAGGACAGCACATGACGTGTGGGGATGAGGGTACCTCGTCACTGTCAGCACGGAGGATCCCTGGGCTCCTGACTCGGTATCCCGGGCTGTGAGGACTCCGCCCAGCACCCCCTCTCACGCTTGTTGGCTTCCAGGAAAGCCAGGTGACCAAGTGGTATTGGGGAGCCACACAGCTGAGGCAAGTGAGTCAACACCCACCGGCAAGTGGGGTAGTCCCTGTGCCCAGCGCAGCCACTGGCTGGACAAGAAGGCGAGGAAAGTGCGGGCCCAAACCCAAAACACAAACGACAGCCAGAACTCAGGAGCACCAGTCCGCTCCTTGTTGCCAGCTTCCCACACACACCTCCCATTTCCGTTCTTACTAGGCTCAGGCTCTGGGACCCCGTCGCCCACCCTCCTTGGGTCCCTCTGAAGGCTACTTTGGAACGGCCTTCCCTCTCCCACCCCGTCACCACCTTCCGAGCGCCTGCCAGCCCCCGTGCACTCAGGAAGGGCAGGCGTGGGCGCAGCGGCGTCCCTCTCGGTCACAGAGGACATCATCTCATCAGGGGGCTTTTCTAGCTCAGATTAATTTGCAGAAGTTGTCATAATGTTTGCAGGATGACACAGCTTTAACCATCACATGGTTTTAATCTGCTCTCATTGCAACAGGACCAAACACACAAGAGCATAATCAAATCGCCTGTAACTTAATTACAGCTTACCTATTTCCAACATACGCTGCGGCCCCGAGGGCCTAAGGGCTTAATGGCCCACAATTACCCCCGAGCTCTACCTTGTTTGCTGCACGGACAGCCGGGTTCACTTGCAGGCACAGGGTCTTGCTTCCTGATTTGCTTCCATAATCTGCAATAATAATGAGGAGCAGGTGCAGGCAGGTTCGGGGGGCTAGGAGGGGGAGATGGAGCTCCTTCTGGGAAACATTACTTTTCACAAATGCTTCAAAGGAAATGACTGAAATTGCCAAGAGGAAATTAAAGTCTTGAGGTCGGCAGTATAGCAAGTCTTCTATTTACAAAACGAAAAAAAAAGTTTTAAACACTTTCTACTTGAGGTTCAAGAATCACTAAAAACACAATCAGATTGAATAAGAAGCTGCACCTGTAAGCTCTTACTTTGAAGTTAGAAACTTCCTTAGATGCTAAAAAGTCATACAACCTGTGATTACCTAAGAATGCATACGCCTGCTTCCTCGAGCACTTTCCTCCTCAAATCTAAAAAGGCAATTAAGTGGATGGGAGGAAGGATATAAATCTAAATTTAAAAAAAGACTTCTGCTGACTTATGTTACTATAAAGATTTTTTGTTTGCTCAATAGTAATCATTAAACTATAAAGAAATTCTATTTTAAATGGCTCAATTGCTTTATTTCAGACAAAATAATTGCTTTTCTTGGAGTCTAACCACCTAGACTGATTAATTTTAGTTAAAAATACTTCGAAATGCATCTCATCAGCCTACTCTTTCGCATGGTGGAAATAGATTAAAAAAACAAAAACCTAAAAATATAGAAACCAAAAGAAATCCGTTCCCTGATTTTGAAGAACCAGTTTCTTTAGTAGTATGGTCGCTCCGGTGACATTGGTCTCTCAGAGACTGACATAGTAGAATCGGAATTTTAGTTTGTCCGATGCCTTCACCTCCCACCTCAGAGCACTGCAAGAGATTAAGAACAGCCCCAACCATCCCAACCATCCCACAAGTCCATCTGATCGGGCCCCTGGTAACCTGGACAGTCCTGCAAGCTACCCAGCAGGGCTGGATGCAGAGTTTATTTTTCTTTCTTTCTTCTTTCTTTCTTTCTTTCTTTCTTTCTTTCTTTTTAAAAAAATATATTTTATTGATTTTTTACAGAGAGGAAAGGAGAGGGACAGAGAGCTAGAAATGTCGATGACAGAGAAACATCGACCAGCTGCCTCCTGCACACCCCCCACCGGGGATGTGCCCGCAACCAACGCACATGCCCTTGACCGGAATCGAACCTGGGACCTTTCAGTCCGCAGACCAACGTTCTACCACTGAGCCAAACCGGTTTCGGCCAGAGTTTATTTTTCAATCACAGAGAAAGAGCCTTAGAGACTCTTTGCTGGCAGTAAATTTATCTTCTATTCAGTTCCTTTAATCCTTGCCATGTCATAAGCCCTGTCTCTAAGTCTCACCTCCAATGATCACATTTGCCTCCTTAATAAATGACTCATTTCTAATTACTTGGCTGGAAATAATTTAGCTCTCTTCCTGCTAGTTACTTTGGTTATAAAAAAAGGCCTCAAGGCCTCCTGAGTCATTGACTCATGTTTGTACGAGCGATGCTTCCTAGTTGCTCCATCATCCAACATCCCAGGTGCCTGGACAGCAGGGGAACAGCCCAGGGCGAAGGACCACAGGGGCTCTCAGCGACCCCAGCCTGCTCTGCCCCTGCCCTGCTGCTGCCAGCGTGCTCTGTGCTGAGAGTTAATTAAAACCTACAGGTCAAACAGCTCAGGGGCCTCGTCACAGAGGCAGGAGCAGCTCCTGGAGCAGGGGCCTGGGAACTAGCACCACGGAGGAGCCAGCCATTGAGCATCCCTCCCCTCCCCCCCCCTGCCCATGGACCCCGCCCTTCCCTTGCCAGTCCCAGTGCCTCCAGGCGCCCCCACCACAGCGTCCTTGTGTTCCAGGACTGCTCAGCCCCATGCCCATGGCCACACCCCCAGGAGCTGGGCCCACCAGCCCCGCCGGCGGACGGAGCCGGTGGCTGGTCCCTGGGAGGCGCTGCCAGGAGTAACCGCTGGCGGCAGGGGCTCGGCCGCTCCCATGTGCAAACGGAATGTCGAAGGAATTAATAAAGGTTCTATTTTTTCATTAAAAAAAAAAAAAAAAACCAAAAAAACCCTACAGGTGAAGGTCCCAGGGGCAGGGAGTCTTCTCCATGAGCTGAGAACAAAGACATTTTCTGGGTTCCTTCTTGGCACTGCTAAGTGGCCCTGATAAAATTAATATTAGCTTAAGTGCCGTGGTGAGAACTGGTCCCGGTGCACGAACTGAACCGTGTTACAAAATTTTCTGTTAAAACTTAGTTCTCTGTTCTCCAAAAACAATTAAAATGAAGCAGTTAACTCTGCAATGAAGTTTTACTCTGCCAATTACTTCCAAGTTTCAAAGAAATATAAAAACAAAACACTTGCAATAATTCTACAACCATAAATATTTAATGACTAAATGAGTCACCTCCCAAACACCATCTAACTGTTGTAATCATCACCCCAAGACTGCAGTTAGGAGCCTTGGATTTTAATTTCAGCTTGGCCATTAGCTCCATAAGCTGGTGAGGCAGGCTGTGTCTCATTTCCTATGAGCAATATTCCCAGAATGTACAGATTCATCCATCAGACCAGGTTTTAAGTGCACAAGAAAAAAAGTAAATACAACAACTTAGTATTTTTCTTCTAATCGAGGACTTTAGTAATGATTTTTCTTTAAGCTACTGGCCAAGCAGCACACACCCTGGGAACCACCCAACGTGGCTCTGACACGACCCCCACGATTCAGAGATAAGGGCAGTCAGGGCCTAATGACAGTGTGTCAGTTAATGTCATGAAAAAGAGTACTTTCTATTCCGAGACACTTTCACACTGTTTCCTGTATCTCTGTGGTCACTGGGTATGAAAGCTGCTTCCCCTACTTGAGACACCTCAGTCCCCAGGGTCGGGCCACAGTGGTGCAGACAGCTCCCACGAAGGAAGAGAAAAAGAACAAGTCTGACAGAAAAAACACAGCAGCCTGAGGGAAGCATGTTTCACTTTATTGGCATTGTCAATCCATCCATAAGACAGGTGTTATTTCCCCCGTGAAGTGAGATCCTTTTCAATCTGCATAACCTGTGCCCACACATCTTCACCTTGAAAATGGAGCACTTCAAGCTTCAGGCAGGGTCTGGGGAAAAAAGAAAATGCATAAGTTGCTAGTCCTGTTTTCTTGAAAACCCAACATGAATGGATGCAAAAAGTCTCTAAGGCTCTTTCTTTGTGATTGAAAAATACCTTGAACTGATAACTGAATAAATGAAGTCTGCATCCAACATGAATGGGAAAAACCTCCTTACAGTGAGTTATATAACGTAACTGTGGCTTCAGCTCACTCGGCTGGTGAGGAGCCCTGGCTCTTGGCAGGGCCTTAGTGGAACAGGCACTTATTCCCTAAGTAAAACCAAACACTTGCCTAGCAATAAAGAAATTACTTTGCCTTTAAAAGACACTGAAACCCTCTCTGCTGATGGACACGTGGAGAGTGGCCTGGACACTGCTTCCTGACCCAAGGATATGTCAAGGTCACGGGAGTGAGATGCAGGGTTTGGCAGGCCGAGCTGCAGAGCAGGGCTGTGATTCGGTGAGTTAGCTCACTGTTAGGAACAAAAGCACCCCACACAAAACCTGGTCTCATTGCTCAGAATTATGAGATTATACAGAGAGCCCTTAGAAAAAGTACTAACCTCAAAACACTGTATCTCTAGACTGGTAATAAAATATTTACTAATTCAAAATGAAAATGAGAAGTGCTTAGGGAAGACAGTTCCAATAAGTAAAATTGCTCATAGCCACAAGCTGCCAAAGGATTAATATCTATCACATTTCCCTGCTACTGCGGGTTGGAAGCTTTTTAAAAAGCAAAACAAGAAAACGAAATCTGGAAAACATCTCTCTTGTAATTTACTTCACTTATCTTTGAAATAACAATGTTCAAAAAAGTGGTTTACAGAGCAAATCACTTTAGCAGCTCAGAGCACAAAAGTCTGACGGATCAAATGTATAAACTGTCTTGCGCTGTGCAGAATGGAGCTTATCATTGCCAGCGTCTTCGGAGAAGTGAAATGGCCAAGCCCTTGGAGAGCAGAGCGCCCCGGGCAGAGAAGGCTCCCCGAGGGTCTTGCAGCTTCTCCCGCCTGGTCAGTGGCAGGACCCTTGCCTGCACTTGCAGCCCTTCATTAGGCAGTGATTTGTGAGAACATTAGCAGGTGGGGGAAACAAAAACACAAACTATAATTTTTCAAGCTCCCGAACTCTTATGTAACGCCAACAGCAATTACAAAAATGGGGAGTTTATCCTCCAGATTATTTGACTTTGTGCAAATGAACAATTTTAATTAAAATGAGATGGATCTCTGCCTAAGCACTACTAAAGGAGCTGAAAATCAATGTGCCAATTACTTCTGCTTGTCAGGGCCCCAAACAACATTCTTTGATTTTGCCAAGGGGCTTGTATAACCTGTATGTATAAGTTATTATCCCACTAACTTCTACATGGACTAATTGACCAAAAATGGGACAAGTTCAAAAGTAAAATTATTATTATTTTTTAAAGTATTCTCAAAATTTAAGCTGCAACTCTTCTAACTCAATCAGAACTTACACATTATTCCTTCTTCACTTTCACAATTTTGACACTGCTGCCAGAAGACTTCTCGGCGCCTGCTTTGAATTCAGTTTTCAGTGCATCCCTCACTGCTTTTGCACAGATCTGGGAGTAGCGGATGTAGCTAGGAGAAAATGAGAGGCAATATAGAGTTAATTATCAAGGATCCAACCAGATTGGTGTGCAACTGCTTTTTTCTTCCTATATTTTTAAATTTGGTTTGAGGGTACATTATTATAGAACTGGATTTAGAAATGACAATGCCAACAGGAATCCATGCAAAGAAAAAGACTAGGAAAAAATGTACCAGAGTCTTAACTGGAGTTAGGATGGGTGGGCTTTAGTTTTTCTACTTTATATTGTTTCCCCCTCTTTAGAACATATTAATTTAAATAAAAGATGCGCCTAAACCGGTTTGGGTCAGTGGATAGAGCATCAGCCTGCGGACTGAAAGGTCCCGGGTTCAATTCCGGTCAAAGGGCATGTACCTTGGTTGCCGGCACATCCCTTGTAGGGGGTGTGCAAGAGGCAGCTAATCGCTGATTCTCTCTCATTGATGCTTCAAGCTCTTTATCCCTCTCTCTTCCTCTCTGTGAAAAATCAATAAATTATATATATATTTTTTAAAAATCCTTATAAAAAATAAATAAAATAAAATAAAAGATGCATAGCCTGGCTGGTGTGGCTCAGTGGGTGAGCTCGACCCATGAACCAGGAGGTCCCTGTTCGATTCCTGGTCAGGGCACATGCCTGGGTTGATTCCCAATGTGGGGCGTGCAAGAGGCAACTGATCAATGATTATCTCTCATCACTGATGTTTCTATCTCTCCCTCTCTTTCTCTCTTCCTTCCTGAAATCAATAAAAATATATTTTAAAGAATAAAATGATAATAAAAGATGCACATATTAAAAAATTCCACAGCATAGGAAACAGACCAAAATGTTAATGGAATCTATACGTGAGGAATTCCCCCCAATCTCTCTACTTGAAACTATTTTTAAAAATATATTTTATTGATTTTTTACAGAGAGAAAGAGAGAGGGATAGAGAGCTAGAAACAACGATGAGAGAGAATCATCGATCAACTGCCTCTTGCACACCCCTACCGGGGATGTGCCCACAACCAAGGTGCATGCCCTTGACCAAAATTGAACATGGGACCTTTCAATCCGCAGGTCGATGCTCTATCCACTGAGCCAAACCGGTTTCAGCTCTACTTGAAACTTTTTATATTATTCTGACAAGGTAAAGTATGTATAATTAAAAGAGAAAAAAAAAGCTATTTTAAATTACAAGTTCTCCCTCTGATTATTTAAAGGTTTTCCCAAGAATATTGAATCCTGCTTCACAATTTTGCATTTAAACATACTTCCCAACCAACGTTTCCAAATTTAACTGCAACAGTCCTTTGAGAATATCATCAATTCTAGCAAAATATCTAACAGCCTGCTTCCTGTTTGGTAGATGGACTCCCATCAAAATCTTATTTTCAAGATGTCAGCTCACTTTGTACACTTTTTGAAAACAGGAAGGGGAGTGAGGTGAGAGTGATGTTGTCTATTTTTCTCATGTTTTCAGATCAGGGTGATTTTTTGTTTTTGTTTTTTGCCAAGAGGTAGGCGTTCCAATGCCTGCTTCCACTCTTACTAACTGGGTGACCTTCAGGCTGTTCAATCTTTCAGCTCCTTTATTAGCCCAGAGAAACAATAGAATAAAACAGACATTACACTCGCCCCACCTGTGGGTGGGTGGAAGAGAGACAATGTTTGAAAAGCATGAATCACGCCTTCCCGCACATAGTAGGTGCTTAATAAACGGTACCCATTCCTAGAACTATCCTTCTCCCAATTCTGCAAAACTCTGCGTGACCTCCCGAGTGTCACGTGGGCTGCTCAGGTGTCTCACAGGCCTGTACCCACAGGGCGCCGCTAGAAGGTGCTACTCTGGGCAGGTGAGCAGGTGAGAGGTGTGTCCTGGGGCAAGGCACTGCACCGGGCTGGGTGGCAGCCAGAGCACCCAGGTGTGACAGGGAACACAGAAACCAGACGGGGTCTTTCCCGTCACACCAGATGCCCTGTCCTCAAATGGGTTCCGTCTTGGTGCGTCCATGAGCCACCACCACCTGTGTGCAGGGCTCTCTGCAGGTAAGAGCAACGGAGTTAATTTAAAATAAAAGTAAAAAGTGTGCACCATTGAAAAGGGCCCCGATTTGATCCAGAAAAGGCTAACAGTGGTCACACACAGAGGACTGTCCCCCATCCTCCCAGCTCCCAAGTTTTAGGTCACTTTGACACCCGTGTCCTGAGAAGGGCAAAGGGCCTGCGCTGAGCCGCTGTCTCCGGGGGGAGGGAAGGGCGTCGCGCAGGAGCGGGGCTGCACCCCAGGCGGGCGCGCAGGTGGCAGCGCTTGCGGCCCCCACGAGGCTGCGCCCGCTTCCAGCAGCGCCGGCCCGCCCCTCACCCCAGAAGGCCGCCATCTTGGGCGCGCTCGCCTCCCGACCCCCACGCGCCCGCGTGACCTCTGACCCCGGCCGCCCCGCGCTCCCCTCCCGAGCCCCGGGCCCACCTGAGTCCAGCCTGTCGCCAGTAGGCCACCATGATGCCGCGAGAGGGGGGATAGTCTGACCGAACCGTGAGGACGCCTCAATGTCGGCTCTGCGCGCGACCCAGCTGCCGGAAGGTCAGGCCTGAGAAGCGGAAGGGGCGGGGCTCCGGGCCTGCCACCCCAGCCGCTCGGTCCCGCGGCCTTTTCGAACAGCTTCCGCGGTCCCGCCGAAGGCTCCCCGGCACCGGGAGCCAATGGGAGCGCGCGGCACGCGCCGTGGCTGCCAATCCCCGGGCAGGCTGGCCGGCTACGCCTCGTGATTGGCTCGGCGGGTGATGAGCCTGTGCCCCGCGGGCTGCCGTAGTGCCCCGGCTTTGGGCAACAGAGCCGGAGGGAACGCTAGGCCGCGTGGTTTTGGGATGGGAGACAGGAGCTGTGGCCGGTGTGGGGCTCACCCCAGGGGGGAGGGGGAAGAGACAACAGAGTTTCAGGGAACAAGTGGACATTTCCCCGAGTCTTAGGAAACCTGTGCTGCTAGCAAAAGGGGGAGAGCCCCAGACACATGGAAAACCCTTTCAGCACCACCAGTAGAGACACATCCCCAGCACAGAGCTGGGATACAGCTGAGACAACTAAGTGTATTCTTAGGAGGAAAAAATTTACTTTGCTTTTTACATTTAAGAAATTATAACCAGCCCTGCCGGTGTGACTCAATGGTTGAGCATAGACCTATGAACTTGGATCAGGTTTGATTCAGTCTATTCCGTCAGGGAACTTGCAGGGGTTGTGGGGGCCTACAGGAAGTGGCTGATTAATGATTCTCATCATTGATGTTTCTCTCTCTTCCTCTCCATCTGAAACCAATAATATAAAATTAAAAATGTATTAAAAGAATTACAATCAGGAAAAACCACATGGTTTTTATTAAGAAAGGTTCTTCATTAGTGTAAAATCCACTTTTAATATTAAATAGGATTAGATGCTCCTAATCCATGAGTCTATTCGGTGAACATTTCAGTGTAGTCCTCTCAAATGTATTTGCTTGCTGTGCATCTCTATCTTTATAGGTAAAAGCCACAAACTACCAGCTATTTAACTGAAAGGAGGAATTACACAGGAAAACAAAAATTTAGAGAATTTTATCATTACCTCTCACTAAAACAAAATCAGAATAAAACTTAAACCTTTTTATTAGTGCATCATTACACCTTTTCAGAACAAGTATAATTTATAGAAATCATACAAGGCAACTTTTAATTATTATATTATTGATTTTAGAGGAAAAGAGATAGAAACATCAATAATGAAAGAGAATCCTTGACCGGCTGTCTCCTGCATGCCCTCAACTGGGGATCAACTTGGCAACCCAGGCATATACCTTCAACCAGAATCAAACCTGGGACCGTTCACTCCACAGGCTGACATCTACCGAGCCAAACCGGCTAGGGCATACAAGGCAACCTTTAATAAAAAATCAGTACTTCACAATGTTTTGTTTAGCTGAAATGTTATTTCAATTGTAAAAACCATCTCTGGTTACAAAAATAAAAACCTTATTGAATTTCACTTGCTTTTACAAATGCCCCAAGAAGTCTAAGCTAAACAATATTTTTAAGTAGAAAAACACTAGTTTTTAAATAGTTTGGTATACTATTTCTGTGGTTTATGTACATATGTTACCTGGTTTCTTTTTCATTTTTTTATTAAGGTATTATGTGTGTACATGTCTTACCATTGCCCCTCCCACTCCCATACATGCCCTCACCCCTCAGAGTTTTGTTTGCATTGGTTATGCTTATATGCATGCATACAAGTCTTTTTACTTGGTTTCTTTTAAAGGAAATCTGATTACAAGTTGATCACATCACATTAAGCACTGTAAAATAAAGGCAAGAAGCTAATCACCTTTTAACAAAAATACTCTATAAGCAACAGTTGTAAGTATCAAAGATATTTTTTAATGGTTGATAATTAACTGCTACAAAATATGAAACAAAATACATTTCTGGATTGTTTTTCTGAGTGCAGTGGCCCTGTGGCTCCCAAAATGAGGATTCCCCATAAATAAAAGTTACAAAGTAATTCATGTAGTGGTTATTTTAGGCCAATGCCTGCTCCCCGCCCCTCGCCCCCCATCCCGTCAGTGGCACTTATTATTAAAAACAATAGGTACCTGGGATTTATACCCCAGATCAAGACATCATTTGGGCAATTTCAAATTATGTATAGCTCCTCATGTAAAAAGATGTTCTATGGTCACAATTACTTAAAAAAGTAATTATATCCAAATAACCTGGCAGATCATGTTTTAGCAATTACAGAACCATGATTCTGACACATGGCAATTTCACAAGTTAGACAAATGTGAAATGCTAAAAGATTTGAACAGCTTCTCTTCTGTTTAAGTTTAGAGTGCTGAAAAATTTCGATAATGACTTTATTTTTTCAGTTAACATAACCGGCTCACAATACAGCATATAGGTCATAAAGTACAAATCCACAGAAGGTAATTATCTTCGCTAAGTTACAAAACTTTGGCAAGTCAATACAGTACTCTTTCATAGAATAAAGATGCAATTACTTAAGTGATAATTTTAACTCCAAAAATGTCATTTAAGTACCAAATTAAAACAGTGGGTAATGGTGGCTTATAGCAAGCAGAGCACGGCATTTTATACAAATTTATATCTTTTAAAACTATACAATTGCTCCTTTGAAAGTGAGATCCCTCTTGAAGTTTCCCACAGCAGAGCAATTGTGTCTATTCAGAGGTGGCTCTGCTTTGTCCTGGGGTTGGTCCAAAGCCAGGTAGAGTTCCAATGCATGAAAAGCTTTAAAATTTAACTTGAAGGAGACTAACTATGCTAACACCAATTTCTAAGTACCTTTCAAAAATTGTTAATTCTCACATAACTATGGAATCTTCAAAACCAGAGTCATTTCAAACAACACTAATAATTTCAGATGCTCCCTTTAATTTAGAAACATCGTACCTCCTTGTTTTGATCAAGTCACATACCCTTTCTTTGGCTTATTAAAAAAAATTCTACCTAAAATATAGTTTTTTAATGTATTTTTTAAATAACAATAAATATAATGCCAGTTAGTAGAGATCTAGGGGACCGGGTGCTGTATAACAACTTTCATCATTTCTCTACAAATGCTGCTGCTGCCATTGGCGTCCTTATGCTTCCTCTTGCTGAAGCCGTTAATTCTTCAATCTCAGCATTTAATTTATGTATTACCCATTCCATTGCTTCTCGACCCTTAAAAAAAAAATCCAATACATTTATTGTTACCGAGAGCAAAGGCATCTAGCAAATAAATGGAACACAAGGAAGTAGCGGGGGCATTACAAGTCTAACTAAACCACACCAAGATAGCCAGGCCCGGTTTGGCTCAGTGGATAGAGCGTCAGCCTGCAGACTGAAAGGTCCCGGTTTGATCCGGTCAAAGGCATGTACCTTGGTTGCAGGCACATCCCCAGTGGGGGGTGTGCAAGAGGCAGCTGATCGATGTTTCTCTCTCATCGATGTTTCTAACTCTCTATTCCTCTCTCTTCCTCTCTTTGAAAAATCAATAAAAAAATAAAAATAAACCACACCACGATAGATAATTTTTGTTGCTTCTTCCTGATGTTACTTACCAAATAAATGCCTTGAGCAATTGATTTGCTCCATAAACTAATTTTTATTCTGTATGCAAAAGATGTCCTCCAAAGAATCTATAGTCAATTGACAGTGATATTTTATTTTATGATTAGTAGTGACCTTTTAGGGAGTGAAAGCCAATCCCCCTTTTTCTTTTTATGTTTGTATTTTAAATCAAAATCCTATGTAAGTGCTAAAACAAAGATTTAAACCAAAATCCTGAGATCTGGTCCCTGACTTCCTCAACCATTTTCTCCTGGCGCACTATGCTCCATGCAGTTCCGCTAGGAGCAGCAGCAGCACTTCATTTTCCTGTCTCAGGGCCTCTGCACACTCACCTGTCTGAAGTGCTCCCTGCGCGTGCCTCACAGCCATCACACCCCTCATGCAGCTGCCACCATCACTCACGGAATACACATTAAACACTCTTATACTTTCCTGCACTTTTCCTTTTATAATGATACGCTGTGCAATGAATGTTACCTTACTTAGTTCCACATTTTTTTAAATTTCCAGACGTATCTCCAGTCTAGCCTAGTGTTCTGTCTGGAACAAAGCGGGCATCTATGAGTATCTTCTCATTGCTGAATGATTACATGAAGTGTCTTAGAACAGTGCACTAAGCATCCTTTTCTCTAGACTTTGTTTGAATCATGTGTTCTCAATGGGGCAAAAATTAGCTGGGCTGGTGGAAAAAAATCCACCTTTTTTATGTATAAAGTATTATGTTGGGAGCCATCAGAGTTGAGACATACAACTCCGTCTTAAGGAAATAGAATTAAGTTCCTTCTAGCAGAAGTTATGCGGTACCCTGAGGGTTTGGCCAGAAGATAAGATTAACCTGCTGCTTAGCATCTCTGCAACTTACCCTTCCTGATCCTCCCCCATAGATAGCCCAGCCTTGGAATGTTACACCTGGGAATGTTATGCTGCCCTGGCAGTTAGCCAATCCTCTGTTGCCAGATACCTTACCACCTTGCCACTCAGTGCCTAAACCAATTATACACTGCCAAAGACCCCTCTGCAGAGGCAACCCTGCCCCCCTTTGTTTCTGCTGTGTATATACAGCCATTTCAAAGAATAAAGTCGAGGCTTGATCAGAGAACTTTGTCTTGCCTCCGTTCTTCGCGTTCCTTGTTTGTTCCATTCTCTTAGGTGGTTCCTGCGTACCCCCATTGTTGCCCCGCGGGTCGGGACAGTATTATCTATCCATTAACTACACAGGGTAGAGTGATCAAAAAAAGGGTCTAAATTGATCTGGGATGAGGGAAATTATAAATGAAAAAAGGTTGAGAATTGTTGCTTTAAATGATACATGGTAACATGTAATCAAGTATTTCCCACATGCTGGGCCTGGGTCACACACTTTCCATGTTATCTCATTGACTCTTCGTGCCTAACCCTGTGAGATGGGCAGTTAACCTCCACTTCATAGATGGTAAACTAAGGCACAGAAAGGTTAACTGTACAAGGCTGCTAAGATTAGAGCTTGGGCCCGACACCCAGCTATGCTGGGCCCTAGAGCCTGTGCAGGTACAGCTCACATGGATTCTCATTGCTGAAAATCGGCTTGTGAGGAAAACACATGCTCACTGCTAAGCTCTTCCAAAGACAAAACCCAGGAATAACAGCAACCAGGGGCAGCCTCACGTACTTTACTAGCATTTGAAGATATTGTGCTCGCCATCAGCCCTTCCAGGTAACTACTGAGGCTGACTCCTTTGACAGTGATGATGGCCTCTTGAGTCAAAACAGTTCTGGAACAAAACAAATTCACAGTTTCAGAATGATCTAACTTTCATTAAAAAAAAAAAAAAAAAAAAAAAAAAAATTGGTAAAAAATTAAAACACCTGTAAAATAAGTTTATTAAAACATTTTTTTACTTACCTTTCTGGGTCCTGAGGATGTGGTTTATATATAAGTCTCTCATCTACTGAAACCATATTTGTAAATGAAATCTATAGAAATTTAAAAAAACAATCAGTTCATGTTGAAAACAGGATTGAAAACATTTCCAAAATTAATTCACAAACCCAAATCTTGCAAGTATACAGAACGAGAATAAACCATTTTGATATTACTGTGTAGACAGAATTTAAATTTCACATTCATTCTTACTTTTTATAAAAAATAATAAATGTGACAAAAGCAGAATCCCAAATCATTTTATTGAGTGCTAGCCCCTAGAAATGCTAAGTAGGCTCACTGAGCGGGGAGGCTAAGCTGCAAAAAGGCAAAGGCAGCAGAGCATGTGAGCGCTGACTGCCTAAACGCCCACAGAGCTAGATTCATCTCTTCAACACTAAGAGTGACAAGAACTTAGGCCAAATAGTTTAAAATAAAACAAAAGGAAGCCAAAACTTACATTAGTGGATTTAAGTTCCATTGTTTTCTCCACAGGATCAACTACAGAATGTTCTTGCACATATGTTTTGGTTCTTGCCGCACCAATCAGCTAAATAAAACATCCACAATTAGTAATCAGAGGAGGAAGGATTGTATCAATATTTTATTTGAAAGTAAAATGTGTTAATATCTTGAGCCAAAAATCTGTTTCGTAAAAAACAAAACAAAAACCATGAGGCATCAGACAAAGGTCAGAAAGGAGGCCCATCTGATACCAGAATTCACCCCCATGGATAAGATGAGACTTCCCACAACCCCCACCCCCAGAGGCAATGAGCAAGCAGCCCAAGAACGTGTCCCAGGGAGGAAGGCTGCTGGGCCTGCCAATGACAAAGGAGCAGGGGCTGAAACATGGGACTCAGAGGGACTGGGAAACATGGCATCTGGAAAAAGGAGTGCTCAGACTACCAGCCAGCATTTTCTTAGAGCCATCCAAAGGAGAGGGTGCAATGGCCTCTTTTCTCCAGACAGGAAACAGCCATGTCATGAAGGAGGATATCACTCCCCGTGCCCTGACCCCAAGCCAACCACCCAATCTCACTCATTTCTGGGCCCCCGTTACCTAATGCAGTGGTTTACACAAAGGAAGCAACCAGTGCCTTCCTGTTGAAAACATTGTACTTTTGTTTTCTGGGTGGACCTGCCTTCTAGAAAGGGAACTTCTATTGAAAACTGGGTCCACTTGTCATACCAGTTTCCCACACTATAAACTGGCATTCCAGTTTCCTGCTGGTTAAATCAAATCACTAAAGCCTGCTTGCTTGAAACTGAATAGAACTACGTTTTGAAATGTAAGGAGAGAAGGCCCAGATCTTGGAACAATGTGGCAACAGGAAGTCTAAGAAAATACACGAACCACCACTGACCACACAACTGTCAGCTAACAATCCCCACCAAACCATCACTTCCAAATCTTGCTGTTGGTCTCAAGTTGCTGGCAAAAGCAGGAAAAGTAGGATATTCCTCATTTTAAACTACAGAGCATTAGCTGGCTTCCTTCAGAAAGTTTTATCAGGTGCCTTCACAAAGACTGTAATAATATTTCCAACTCATTATACACTCATAACTCAAGTTTATTATAATACAATTTGAACTGATGAAAAAATGACATTCAGAATCTGCTCCCACAGCCTATTTGAAATTATAATGTGGTTTGGAAAACTTCTCCCCAGCAGTCACATTTCTGCAGGAATAAAGACACACTTACAGATTTCACAATGGAAGGCAGTCCCCACTCTGTGCTGAGCAGTCTATGGCTGTGCAACTTTCCAGAAGGATCTACATGTCTGTCCAATACATCGACTCCAACCACGCTTGGGTTCATTGGATTTGGATATTTTTGCATTGCAGCTGTTGTAACAGTTTCCCAAGGGTGGCTGCAACATAAAGCACAATCAAACATTTAAAAATATACCTTTAAATTAAGCATTTTATAACCCATCAAATTATTCTTTGCAATTGAAGTTTAATTTACCTAGGGAAAATTTTCTCAAAAGATGACTTTAGGGACTCAATCTAAATTGTAAAAATATACATTTAGTCTTTTTTTCAGCACAGGTTATATGGTACAATTAATTTCTATAAAGATTAAAATAGCCTACGGAGCATCACTGTACAGGTTCTTAAATAATCTTTCCAATTTACCCATGTCTACTTTCACATGTAAATTTTGTTTCTAAGAACCAAATTCATAAAAATTATATTCTCCAGAATCAAGCAGCAAAAATTATACCATTTATCTTTTTGTCTGACCCAAATTACATGAAGCTATAAAGTAACAAATAAAGACTTTGTTTGCCTTGTAAATTTTTACAGTGATTACAAAAATTCAAAACATTACTGACTTAAATGTCATATTAAAAATGTATTTTTCTCTACATTAAGGTAATAAATAACACTGTCCCCTCCAGTTAATCTTGATCCATTGCTTTGCTCCAAGGAGTGATTCTGATTCGTTTTGAAAAGATAATAAAATGTTTTTAAGATGTTCCTAATATGCTATTTCTTAAAATAATAAGATTTGCTTATCTCCTAGGATGGAAATGGAACTTGCAGCATCTTTATCTCTTGAGAAAGCACATGTGCCTGATGATTCAAATGTGATGTACATTCGTTCACTCTACAACTTATGTGAATAGGAGGTTGTACACAAGACATCCTTTTCAAAGGAGCCCTCATTAACTACACTGACTATGAAAGGTGACGTAACTTTCAGAGAGCCAAGTCTGACAACTACTCTACATCGACAGAAGGAAAATCTCAAAATCCTGGACAACCAGTGACATTATTTGTAACCGGAGGCCTGGTGCACAAAACTTCGTGCACTCGGGGGGAGGAGGTGAAGTGAGGTGTGTGTGTGTGTGTGTACTCTGGCCCAGACTGTAATCACAGTCCAGGAGCCCTTGGGGGATGTCCGACTGAAGGGAGAAGGCCTAAACCGTAGTCTGGCCTCCCTCTGAGGGAGGCAACCAGCGGGCTGATCAGGGGATGGGGCCACCTGGCCCTGCCCCCCATTGCCTGGTTGCCACTGTCCCACAATCACCATTCCCTCCCTCTGGCCACTGGCATTTGCCCTGGCGCTGCCCGCTAGCCCTCCTGCCCCCAACCAGTCATTCATTATATAGGATGTTTTAATTTTTGCTACCATATTAAATAAATGAACCTCATTCTGTTTTTAGTATCAGGCTTTACTCAGCAATCAATGCAGTTATATTAAGTGGAGCTATTTTATTAATCTAAATAGCCCTAACAAATAGGAGTGATACAGGACAAGCACTGATAATTACCAAGGCAACTATCTAAAATGCAAATTGGACAAACCCTTTCCCTGGCTCCATCTAGTCCCTTACCATGATCAGCTAGTTTCCTTGCACTTAACTCTTTCCCTCACCCCCTCAAAGATAAATAAATAAATAAATAAATAATTGCATGGCTTTGAGGTGGTTACACAGTATTTGTAATTTAGTCCTTCTCTCCTCTGAGCCAACTTGAAAACAACCTTGTTGGCTTGAACTAAGATTGCTTTATGAAGTAGAACTAGCTCAAACATTACAAAGGAGGCCTAGTAGGATGCACAGTCTTCCTACAATGAATTTTCACTGTCTCGGTGTAATTATGTGATAAGATCTCACACTGGAAAATATTCATAGCACCAAAGGGCAGTCTGGAGAACTGGGTGGTGAGATACTGACCTGTCAATTTCTTCACCTATAAAACGAGGGGAGAGACACTGCACCTCCACAGAAACAACAGATTCTGCCAGTCCTAAGCTCAGTGCCTGGTAGGTACGTGATGGCATTCACAGTTGTTGAAGGAGCCAATGAATGGCTTCACAACTGGATGCCAACCACGTTAGGCCTCAGGAGGAAGTGTGGGACCCAAAGCTGGGTGCGACACAGAGTGTCGGCTTAGACATTGTTATTAAATTGGATCATCCTTAAGTTGGATACATAGGGAAGTGACCTAAGATTTTTGGGAGATAATGACTTTAATTTCAGAAACGCCGAGTTTGAAGAGCCTGTGGGACAGAGGAGCAGAGATGTCTGGTAGAACCTGAAAATAAGGATGTGAAATTCAAGACCAGCTAGAGCCCAACGTACAGATTTTGGAGCCCTAAATGTGTACAAATCAGCAGGGATCTTGATGGGAAAGCCCTGAGTATGTGGACAGAGTCGGAATCAGGACTTCTCCCAGGACATGTACAGCTTTTACTTGAACATGTCTCTCTCCTGGGAGGAGAGCCCCACAGCTTTCCTCAAATCTCAGAGAAGTCTGTGGCAAAAAGAAAAGAGATTAAGAATCAAGATAAAATGTTAGACAAGAAGGCCAACAACAGAATCTCATTGAATACCGATACCAAACGGGTATGTTGGAAACATTACAGAAAAAAAGGGTGGCGAGGGGCTGGGAACAAGCCAGGAAACAGAGTGTTAGGGAAGACGGAGAAGGATATTCTATGGAGGTACGGTCCCAACGACTGAAGCATGTAAACCTGGAAGAGGATCACAAGGAAGAAACCAGCCCTGGTCCCAAGGGCTGAAACGGAGCAGTGAAGAATGTGTCCTGGTGGAAGAGTGTCAGAAAAGACGACAAACTCAGGGTCTCTGGCCCCAGAACGATAATAAACTATTAAGGAAAGAAATCTTCCCTGTGATTCTTACATTCCACGGGTTTCCAGGACCCAGCGGGCTCTTGAGTAGGTAGGAAGTTTACAACTTAAAAAAAACAAACAAAAACAAAAACAACTGCCCTTTGAAATACTGTTGATCCAATAAACTAAAACACACTGTAAAACTATGAAAGTTAAAACGATGTGGCTCCCCAGCAAGATGGTGGAATCCAGCGGACAGCTCAGAAAGGTTCACCGGCGTCCGTCTCATTACACGTGTGGCTCTTCCGTCCGTGGGGTCAGGGCCCCAGGAGGACATTTAATCCCAGCACCCATGGGCTTAAGGCCCCTTCCTTCCGCTAGGGACATTCCGGCGAACCCAGAGCAGTCCCGGGCCGGCCTCCGACGCATCCCGCACCTGCGGGCCCGGGAGGGAGGGGCCGAGGTCACGGCTCGCAGGCGGCAGCGGGCACCGCGGCCTCCGACCCGGGCAGCTCCTCCGGGCGCCGCGCCGCCGGAAGTGTGGCCTCCAGGTCGCTGCGCTCGTCCAGTCACATTCCGACGTGAGGCTCCACCCAAACGGCGGCGGGCCGTCCGGCACTCTCGCCCCCGCCCCCCGCCCCCCGCCCTCGGGGTCCCGGGCCCCGTCCGGGCTTTGGGAACCGGGGTGCCAACTGGGGGCCGCTCGCCGAGTGCCGTCCAGGAACTCGTGTTGGGCGGCGCTCCGCCCCCGGGGGCCGGCGCAGGTGTAGCGCCCCTGGCCCCCTCCCGGCGGGGCCTGGAGGTCCTGGGGGCCCGTTCCCGGGGGCAGGGCCGCGCGGGCGCCCCCAGAGCCCCGTGGGGCTCACGTCCAGCGCCCCCACTCGGCCCGACGCCGGGAAGCTTCCTGAGGGCCGCCTCGACCTCGCTCCCACTTTGGGCCCAACCTTCTCCCCCGCCCCCACACACCCCACAGTGCCCCGCGCCCCCCACCGACCGCCCCACGCCCCAAACTCACTCAAAGACGTGCTCCGACGTCCAAATCTTCATGGTGCCGGCGGCCCGCACGCTGTCCCGCGGCGCAAAGAGGCAAAGAGGCCGCACAGGCCCCCGCCCTGCCCCCTCGCCTCCTCGCCGGTCGCGCAGCGCGCACGCGCCGTCGGGCCCGACGCCAGGACGTCCCGACGCCGAGCCCCGCGCCCTATCCCGGCCCGGGACGCCCGGCCCCGCGCGCGGCGCAACCAAGCCCCGCCCCTTAGCGCCGGGCGCTCGCGTCGGCGCAGTGCGGGCAGCGCTGGGAGCCGCGCCGGCCGTGGTGCTGCGCAGGCGCGGCCCGCCCCCTCGAGGGAGCGCTGACCTCTGGGCAGAGTTGGGTCCGGCCCAGCGGGTTCCCGGGCGCAGCCGCGCCGTCCACCCCATCCACCGTCACCTGGCGGGCGTCGCGGGGCCCGTTGACAGCTGCCGTCAGCCGGAGGTCGCGGACAGGCTGTCGTGTTCACTTGAGTAGTCGATGTTCTTGGCGCCCATGAACAATCCCTACCGCCTCCGTCTCAGCCCGTGCCATTGGGGTTCCAGACTCAGCCAGCCGGCCTGCCAGTCACCTCTGCTCTCCACCTGCTTTCCCAGAGGCCATGACCTTGGATGGAAAGAAGACAACCGGACAACGAGGAGATAACAGACAATATGACTGATGTTTGAACGAAGGCTCCAGTGAGGAGCATGGGGTGCTCCAGGGAACAGATGGGGATGCTTTGTGGCCCCGTGTTAGAGGATGGCCTCAGCTCAGAAGTCACCCTGCAGAGAGGCCTGCCTTGTCACCTTCCCCAGCAGATGCCACCCCTGGTCCCCCATCGCAACGCCTGCTGCATTGTTCTTAGTGATCATCTCTGCACTCTCAGAGATCATCTCTGTTCAACTGCCACCCAACGGAAGCCCTTGAGGGCTAGGATCCTGCCTGTTGTGCTTGACACTGATTCTCTGGACCTTGCCCATAGGAAAGGCTCAATGATTACTTATTGAAAAGCAAAATAATCAATAATTATTTGTGGGATAAATTAATTACTGAAGCAATCTGGTTTGCCTGTTTAACTTTCTTTAGACTGTAGGGCCTGAAGGGCGAGGCTCCTGTCAGACTCGTTCGATGATCCCTTACATAATAGTGCACCTACATAATAATTTTCGTTGCATGATTGAATGGATGACTAAGAAGTGAGGGGGCAGGAGGCAATGGCACGTGGCTTCATCCACAGAGGAGCTTGGTTCAGTGGACAAACGGCCTGGCCCTACTTTCAGGATAAGCCCTTCCTCTCCTGCCGCCCCTCTCCCTCGCCCCCAGCCGACAGCCTTGTACCCCCTCAGAAACCTGACACTTTAAGTGATGGCTGTGGCGGAAAATCTTTACATCTGGTTACTTAGAAGCTAGTTAGAAGCACTGACTCATTTTCTTAGCTCAGTTGATTGTTAGAAACAAAAGCCAGGTTAATTTAGGAGGGAGAATAATCTTTAAAAAAAAAAATAGCTGACATCCTTTATGTGGAAAAAACAAAAATTACATTAGGCAGGAAGGAGGTAAAATGGTTGGCTAGTTGCTAAGTATAATTCGTGGTGCTCAGGACTTAAAAAGACCCCTACTGTACTTAGAGTGAGTTCTTGGGGAGGTAATGCTTTGAGGCTTGCTGAGAGTGCCTCCGCCATGATTAAGACGTAAAGTTGATATTGCTGGTTGTTAAAACATCAGCACAGAACAGCCTGTCCCTGTTATTCCTGGCCCTCCATGGAGCTTTCACCATCCAGGATTCCTCCTCAGTTTCTTTTACAGAATATTATTCTGCCCTCCTTCTCCCCCCAGCTCAAGATTTTGTGTAAGTTAAGTGACACCTGCCTTCTACCCATACTATATCAGTCAGTTTTACTTACCCCATCTGGAGTGATGGGTATGGAAGGATGAGGATCTAGGACCCACGCATTTTTTCTGTGTGTCCCCAAAGTGGGAACAATATCACCTTGTATGGCACTTGTGATTGGAGAGCAAGACCTTTACATGCATTATCTCCTGGAGACTCATGACTCATTTAGAATCACCCAATGGAGTAAACGGAATGGCTTTTAGGTGCAACAGGTCAGATAACTTGGATAATCAGGTCAGTAACTTGGAATTAAGTAGGTGACTGGCTCTTATGGCCCTTGCTCTAGGATGACACAGGATTCCCCAGATTCCCATGCCCTTCCCTGGTTGGAGGGAGGCAAGAATGCAGGTGTGGCTCCTGCTGGCAAGGACCTTTGCATCTGGCTGAGGCGCCAAGACACAATCGGAATGGCTACAAGATATTTACAGCAAGGGTTGGTTTGGTGTTTAGAGCAGAGAGACCCATGAGTGGACTGCAGTCCCTTTGTGCATGTTGGTGGGCAGAGCATCCTCCTCGGCCACAGAGAACACTTTGGCTGAGGGGCTGGGGCCAAGAGCTGGTTTGGGAGGACACTCAGGGCGGCAGCAGCACCCAGGCCGGTGGGTCCACCCTGCAGTGACCAGACCCAGGCCTTGCAGGAGCAGTGAACGAAGCCTTGTGCTCCAGTGTCAGCTGGGCTCCCTTTATTTTCCAATTCCAGTCATCCACACGCCGTCTTCACCGCTTGTTCCATCTTCATGCCATCAGGTCCATCATTGCTCTATTTTTCAGGTCATTTTCTTTACCAGTACACTTCAAACAAACTTCTTATAACCGCTGTCAACACATCGGTATCCCCCTGACATATGGTAAACATTATGAAAGTAAAACAGTAAGCTCCCTACCACCTCTTAGACTCCAGTAGAGAGAGGGTGTGTCTGACTTGGGGGTCTATTTTCCAGCTGCTTTGGATTCTTATTCTTTCCCTTCAAACTCCAAACCCGTCTTTTCTTCTGAACCAGTAGGCGGTGACCTTTATCTCTGGACTCACAGTGGACTGAAGTTCTCCCTCTGCTCCTTAAAATGCCTGGTACTCATTGATGCTCTCTGTCTTTCCTCTGAACTCACATAACATATTCTTTCTCTTTCCCAATCATTTCGTCTTTGCTACATTCATTAATGCATTCATTCATTCATTCAACAAACAGCCATGATAACCCATTCTAGGCCAGCCCTCACCTCAAGGAGGTTATGCTGCCCCAGCGGTTCTCACCAGAGTGATCTGGCTGTTATACCTATGAAGGGGATGCTGCTGGCATCTAGGGGACAGAGGTCCAGGATGCTGCCAGCTGTTCTATGGTGCACAGGACAAAGACAGTCCCGCACCAGAGAAGTACCCCGCCTCCAGTGTCAATGGTGTCACAGTGCAGAAACCCTGGGCTACAGCTAGCAGGCTGTCATCGCCTGGTTCAGTCCGCCTGTCTGGCCTTGATCTTTTGCCCTTCCATTCCCCAACTCAGTGGACCCTACAGCTGCATCCACTACTCACTGTCCCTCCACAGCCATGCACTCCCACACCCTGAACTTCGGACGCGATGTACTCTGCTTAGAGCACACTGCCCCTTTATTCACCCTGAAGAGTCTTAAAGTACTTCAGTCTTGAGGCTGCAAATACTCCACTCCCGCTGAGAGCCTCGCGGATACGCCTTTGACCTAGCCCAGCGCAGTGCTTTCTTTCTGCCCCTGTGCTTCAGTTGGCATTTTTACTAGACCCTTGTTATTGTAGTTTGTGAGTGCGTGAGTCCACAACTGCAACTTAAAGTACAAAGTGATCTGTCTTAGGCCATTGGGGGACGGCAACAAAATATCACAGGGTAAGGGGCTCAGAAACACAGAAGTTTACTTCTCCCGGTTGTGGAGGCTGGAGTTGGAAGCCGGCATGGTCAGGTTGGCCATTTCTGGCCCGTGTCTGCCCCTGGTAGGAGGGGCCAGGAGCTCTCTGGGGCCTCTTTGATTTTTATTAATTAATAAATTAATTAAAATCTTCAGCTGAGGATATTCTTCCATTGATGTTTAGAGAGAGTAGGCGGAAGAAGAGACAGAGAAAGGGAAACATCGATGTGAGGGAGACACATCGATTGATTGCCTCCTCTATGTGCCCCAACTGGGAGTGGGGATCAGCATGCAACCAAAGTACATGCCCTTGACCAGAATCGAACCTGGGACCCTTCAGTCTGAGAGAGGATGCTCTATCTACTGGGACTAGGCCTGGGGCCTCTTTTATAGGACACTAATCCCACTCATGAGGACTCCACCCTCATGACTTAAGAGCTTCTCAAAAGGCCCGCCTCCTCATACCATCAGTTTGGGCATTAGGATTTCGACATATGAATTTGGGGGAACACATTCAGACCATACCAACTTCTGTGTTAGAGGGATGGGGGGGGGGGTGGTACTTACCTATCGCGTCCTGTTTTGAGTCTTTTCTGTAATGTGGGCCTCACAGGGAAGCAAGAGTCATCAAAACAAAATCCTCACTGAACCAAATACTTAGAAACACAGTGCCCGTTGAAAACACTGGTCTAGACCCTCCCCTGTGGAGCCCAAGTGTTTGCTGGTTAGCCTCTCACTGGCTGTCCATGGACCAGAAAGGCTTGGAGAGTGAAGAGGAAAGTCTGGGAGAGGAGCAGGGTTTCCTCAGGGTGAGGGAGGTGATGCTGAAGATGCTCTCGGTCACACAGGAAACCGCCAGGAGCTGACATCATGCAGGACCTGGTCATTCCCAGCCAAGGGGAGGAACTCACAAAGGAAAAGCATGTCATGAGACAGTGAGCGAGTCACTAAGCACTGGGAGGATCTGCCGCAGGAATGACCAGGCCCTTGAATGTTTCTGCAAAGATCTCCGTGACTGCAATTGGGCTCCAACATTCAAACGTCTGAGTTGTGCTTTTTATAGCGCGCGCGCGCGCGTGTGTGTGTGTGTGTGTGTGTGTGTGTGTGTATGTGTGTGTGTGAGGGGGGATTATGGCAGAAATTGGCACTTGGTTCATTTGAGATAATAAGAATTTTACCTCAATTCAAGGACAGTTTAACCTGTGTGTGTATATATATATATCTCACTATACAAAATACGATACATATATGAGTGGCCAGGTTATTATGATC